TGTGCATCACTTCAAACCGGGCCTGAAAATCTTGATTGTATTCCTCAGGCGATGAAGGCGCATCCGGAGGGCGACGAACAAAAGATCACAAGGCAGACGAAGGTCACGACCGAAGAGCATCTGTGATGAGGAGTAACCGGTATTCTCGAGTACAGCACTGCGGTAAGACAGTAAAAACAATGGTAACATATTGTTCAGTCCTTAATGAAATTACCAATGAGAGGATATTAAAGGTGGTTCGATTAAACCTCTCTACCATGCCGTCCGATTGAGGATGTAAAGGCATCGTTTGTGTTTTGTCAATGCCGAGTAGCTTGCAGAGTTCTTTGATCACAGCCGAGGTAAAATTTCTTCTCTGATCAGAATGTAACTGAAGAGGCACTCCGAACCTGGATATCCAAAGCTGTATCATTACCTCTGCTATTGTGACAGCCTCTTGATCAGGAATAGAATATGCTTCAGGCCACTTGATGAAGTAATTATTGACAGCGAGGATGAATTTGTTGCTATCAGCAATTCGTGGCAGAGGTACCAAGATGTCTAAGGCGATGCGCTCAAAAGGTGCTCCTACATTGTAACGTTGAAGCTTGCCTCGACTGCGTTTCTTCGGTCCTCTCCGAACTGCACAGACATCGCAAGGTCAGCACCACTTTTGCAGGTCTTCCTTTGCATTACTCCAGTAGAAGCGCTCACAAAATCTTTGCAGTGTCTTTATTATTCCGAAGTGGCCTCCTGTAAGGCTGCTATGTAGTTCTGTAAGGACATCCGGAATCCGGGATCTTGGATTTATCTGCTGCCATCGAAAGCATTTCCATCAGCCGATTAGAATTTCCGGTACAACCGTTTCGAATATGGAGCGAGTCCCAGAGTGTAGAGTATTGTTTTGCTCTGGATTATAGGTCTTAATGTCCTGCCAGGTAGGTTTTCTGATTGAAGACTCCATGAAATCAATTATGGATTTAATGTCGCCGTCTTTCAGCTGGTCTTCCCTGACTTCTTTTTCATTCAATGGGTCTCGATCAGCCGATGTTGATGTAATTTGTGGTGCGCTTCGACCCTGGAACAATATCTACAGCTTTCTGGGCAAGGTCTTCTAGACAGGGCTTCGGAGTTTCCGTGTGATGACTCCTTCCGATGACGGATAATAATGTCATTCCTGGAGTCTCTGTATCCACCTATCTATTTGACCCTCAAGATTCTTGGAATTTAAAAGACAGGGGAATGATGCATGATCCGTACGGAGCAGGAATTTCCTGCCGTATAGATAATGATCGAAATGTTCTACGGCTTTGACTATGGCGAGAAACGTTTTCTTGGTGACACAGTAATTCCTCCTCGGTTTAGACAGGCACTTGTTCCAGTAAGCTACTACACGTTCTTGGCCGTCTATTTCTTGGGACAAAACAGCACCGACACTTTCATTGCTCGCGTCGGTGTCGAGAATAAATGGTCTGTCGAGCTGAGGATACGTCAGGATTGGAGCAGATGTTAAAGCTTCCTTTAAGTTGTTAAATGCATCCATCGCATTCCTTTGTCCACAAGAATCTTTTGCTTGCTCTTCTGTCAGCTTTGAAGGTGGTCTTGCGATGGAAGAAAAGTTCTTCACGAATCTCCTATAGTAGGTGCACAGCCATAGAAAGCTGCTCAGCTGATGGGCATTTTCGAGACGTTTCCATTCTTTAGCGGCTGACACATTTTAGGATCCGTGCACACACCTTCGGCAGAGATGACATATCCGGGGAAAGTCACTTCCTGTCTGAATAATTTGAATTTAGTGGGACTGAACTTTAGATTGGCTTGTTTTAGTTTTTGAAGCAACTTTCTAAGATTTTCTAGATGTTCTTCAAAACTCCTTCCGACGATTATGACGTCATCCAGGTATATCAGACAGGTTTGTAGGAAAGACCTTTTAAAACAGTCTCCATTAGGCGTTAGAATGTAGACGGCGCATTAGTATGTCCAAACAGTATCACCTTGAACTGCCAAAGTCCTTGTCCTGTAGTAAATGCCGTGTTTTCTCGGTCATAAGGATATGCGTCTACCTGCCAACACCCACTCTTTAAATCAAGTGTTCAGAACGACTTGCTTCCAAAAAGAATGCTCAGAATGTTGTCAATTCTACGAAGAGGGTAATTGTCTTTGTAACCTCATTCAACCGGAGATAGTCAACGCAAAATCTTGTTGAGTCGTTTTTCTTTGTGACGAGTACGATGGAAGATGCCCAGACTTGCTTGCAGGGTCGATGGTGATGATGTTCGCACCTCTTCCTGTTTAGCAATCGGTAGACGTCTTTGATGTTGCTTGATTGATAGATGATCACCGGTACCGATTCTATGTCGCGTCAAGTTGGTTCGACCCACGTCAGAAAACATCTTGAAGATCTTTGATGATACGATCGGCAGCATTCCTCTTATCATTGCTTAATTGCGCATTCTGCAATAACTCCGACGTAATGCTCTTTGAAGACATGGATTTTGAAGTGTTACTGTTTCGTTTAACGCTGTTTACAGAAGTACATGCTCCAACCATATCACCTGTATTAATAACTCTGGCTTTCTCAGTTACATTGGCAACTCTCACCGTGATAACGGATTTTGATAGGTCGACGAGTGCTGAGACTACTAGTACTCCTTTGGGGCTGTTACAGTTATTGGGATATTCTATTATGCCGTAGCGGAAATTTCTATTTTCGGTTATAGATCCAGGAAGTAAAAATTCTGTTCTTTCTGGGATGTCATATCGTCTTGAGCTTTAATTTTGTGGACAGATTTCACTCCATAATTAATCCCAATTAAGGCTATGTTATCAGAGGCAGAACGCAGTTCGTAATTTTTAAAATCTAAGGAAAAATTGTAATTAAAAAGTTTAATCCGAGTATGCAAGGATCAGTAATCTCTGCCACATATGCCGTGTAATGGTCTGCGGCTCCAAACATGATGTTAACGTTTAATTTTCCATCGATGTCGATTTTCTCACTGGACACAGTCTGGAGGGTAACGCAGGACGGCGTCCAGATGAGATTACCTTTCAACTGTTAGCCAAATTTTTTCGAATGATGGTAACATTGGCTCCTCTGTCTCTATGGTTATATTGCATGGAACTCCATTGATATGTTCCATTATGAAAAGTCCGTTACTGCCGCCACTCACTGCAGAAATCTGAAGCGCTTTAAACTGGGGGTTTTCATTACGGCAACCTCCGCCTCGCGAGATGGCCACTAATTAGTGCCCTCCTTCTTGGTAGGCGCGTTCTTAACATCTGTGCCCTGGGCTGTTCTGCAGTTTCTTTGTATGTACCCTTCAGCACCGCAGTTACAGCACTTTACGGTCCGTTTCTTATCCCACGTCTCAAGGCATTTAGTTGTCTGGTTAAATCGTCTAGACGAGCAGCCATTTGATCTTCTGGCTTTTGGACTAGAGCAGCTCTGATAGATGTCGGTTTCTATGAGTTGCTTACTGGGCTGCCTCGAATTTCATGGCGTACACCAGACCACTTTTTAAGTCCTTCACATCCACTGTTCGCAGTGCTTTCTGTATTTCAGGATCCCAGATGCCGTCGATGAAATATTGCAGCGACAGGATCTCACTTGTTTCTATCGGGCACTCCGGCGAGTGTGAAGAAGGTGAGGTGGGACAACTTTCAACATCCGTGGGGAGCGCCTGGATTGTTTCGGTGGGCTTCTGTTGACGGGATTTTAATTGAAATTTGCTGTAGTCTTTTTAATACTTCTCCCCAAAGCGCAGCTCTAACGCGCGGGATAGAGCTGCGAAGTCTAGTCTGGTTTGGGGGAAGAGTGGGAAGGATATCTGCTGCGTCTGCTCTCAGAGAAGCAGCGAGATGACAGGCGTTAGCTTGGGAAATTCATTCGCTTTCGCCACTATAGAAAATTGTGTTTTATACACTTGGCAAGAGGTTTTCCCATCATATGTAGTCAGTTTTAGAGTGGAACGAGCAGACATCGTAAAAAAATTTTAAAACCATCACTACGGACTGCCTGGCGTCGCTACCAATTTCTTCCAAGTATCAACTTCTTTGGCGATCGCAGTAACCCTGTCATCAATTTGTTGTTCAATGCAGAAACACTTCCTTCTATTCGTTGCTCCACAGCAGAAACTCTTTCTTGAATTTCTCGAACTGTGTTTTCATTTGTGTCTATTCTGCCTTCCACAGCTTCGAATTTGATTTCTATTATACAGGTAGTTGCTCTTTTCATTTCCTCTTGATCTGCTTCAAACTTTTCTTAGCATTTTCATCTCTCCTTTACGTATTACATGACTAGCTTACATTTTTCGTTAACGGATTCTTCGCGAACGTTCAACTTTTCTTTAATGGAATCTTTCATGTCTTCTAAACATTCTATGCCACATAAAATTATTGCATATTTGAATTCGAGCTTAGTTTACTTCTAATTAAATGACGCTTGGCAAGCTTCCATAATTTCTTGGAATGCAGCAAAAAGCAGTGATGAGCTGTCTCAATTGTTCTTCCATTCCTCTAGTTATCGGCATTGAAATCCCACTTCTGACACCAAAAAGTGCGTATGGGTTCGTAATGGATTGAATGCACAAGTCGGTAAGAAGTTAATAAAATTTATTATTATCCTAAGAAATAAAACAAAATGCTGAAATTTCCTCAGAGAAATTTGTACAATATCGCAATATCTCACAGTAGTTATATTTTAAACTACTAAAACTTTTAATAGAACTCAAATTAAAACAGAGAAAGCGAATCTGATCTGACCGCGAATTCGCTAGAATCAGCAAGAACTAAGTAAACAACAACTGAATTGAGATGTTTTCCTCCAGGTTTTATAATCTTTTTAATCCTACATGAGAACAACATTCTGGTATTTTCTCTATTTTCCTGGATAGCAAAAGAGTACAATTACGAGATATGTATTTATTAAATGTTAAATGCGCGTACTCTTGTATTTTTAATTTTTCGGCGTAGCTTTTTCTTCAAATAAGTCTTGTGTTGCATTGCAGGGGAATAGGAAACAATTTTAATTACAAATTTTATTAAAAATAGCTAAATAAATACAAAATCTGTAACATCTGTATTAAAAGGTTCTGTATAACATTCTGTTCTGTATTAAAACATTCCACATCATGTTCTATATTGTATTAAAACTTCTAAACATTCTATGCCACATAGAATTATGGATATAATAAATCTTGCATATTTGAATTCGAGCTTAGTTTACTTCTAATTAATTTGCATAGAAATTTATATATAATTTATACAATTAAATTTGAAAACGATTATACTATAAATATGGAATAATGGCATTAATTCCAAAACTTCCCTTTTTCTAAACTGTCCAAATTTTCAGAATCCATGAGCATTCACTTTAATATAAATGCCACTCAACATAGATTATAATAAATTATTAACATTTAATTTAACATGTATTTATTGGAAATTTTCAAAATGCTATAAAATAAAAAAGATACAAAAAAGCAGAATAAAGTAATTTAATTTTTACATTTAGAATACATATTTGATATAAAATCCTTTATTGAACCTTATTTATTACAATATACACAATTAGTTTTTATAAGTATATATTTATTCTCAGTACAATATTACGAATGGTTAATTAATAGCATATGTAAAAAATCTGCATTTATGGATTAAATAGCCCCCATGTGCCAAAATACTCACTAACAATGCAAGAAAGTAATTAACAATGTGAAATATAGTAGGGTATACTTATACTAAAAATGTTTTTGGATTTCATAGATTTTATTTTAAAAATTACTAAAATACACTCAATTCAGGCTTAACAGATAGAGTAAACAAAGACTTTACAAAGTGAAATTGGTAGTGACAAGTGAAATATAATGATGTTTAATAGTGAGATATTATTATGAAATTCATTTATGATGTCGTGAGGAATGAAACTGAAGCTACAAGCACCACATATTTTTTTTTTTTTTTTTTATTAAGCAGTTTTGCTGAGAAAAGTGACTGGAAAATATAAAGAATATTTGCTTTTTAGTTATGATACTTAAAAATAAATTTACTCTCACCTATAATATAGCCATAGGAATAGTTTCTAGCATTAGAATACATTTCCAATGAGCTACATTCCTCATAAATACCTCTCATATACATTATGTATATACTGCAAAACTTCTCTGCTATTTAGAACACATTTCCCATCAACAATGACACTATTAACCACAAAATAAACCTATGGAATACTTTCTATTATACAAACTGAACTTGCATATACATTATCTACCTATCTGTCATAATATGTATGTATATGTGTATGTAATATATATATATATATATATATACAATTTATCAATTTTCAAAGATTTCATAAATTACATTTGATTTACTAAGAAAAATTTTATTAATATTTTTAATAATAAAACAGAAATTCTCAAACTCATGTACTTTGATTGCAGACTTTTTTATGAAACATCCTTTTTAGGTAGTTTTTTATTTGTAGCAACTCTATACGTATTTGCTACAATTAATGTAACCAACTACTAAAATATACATTTAGTTACAAAATAATTTATTCTTACAGAAAAATATCTTTCCTGTTGTTTCTCAGACAGAATTTTGTTTACAGAATTTAATCAGATACCTGAATTCTTCACACATAGTTCATGTACAATATATAATTTAAATTGCCCTTAAACAGATTATATACACCAGCAATAAACATTTATGAAACAAGACTTATTTACATGCTTTAAAAAATAAATTTCAGATAAGTGTCTCAAAATACTACGTCTATATTATACCTGTAATGCATTTCTCATAAACATATTCAATCTATCTCTTTATGATATAAAAATATGCTATAATTGATGGATGGAATGATGTATGACAATTAAATAAAAAAAGGTTCTTAATGTAAAACAAATAATTACTTAAGATTATGTTACAAGTATTTTCATGTATGCATGAAGAAGGGCAATAGTTAATTTGAGACAGTTCGTATTCATAGAAATGAGCATAATCCTGCATGCATCACTGAAATGTGACATTTGCTAAAGTGACTTTCCTAACATAATATTTTCTGCAATAACAAAATCAACTTTTGATTAATTTAACAGATGTAAACTGAAAACATTCACAGATTATAATCTCCATAACTTAAATATTATTAATAAAAAATTTTAAAAAAGCCTAAATTAACGTTATAACAAATAATGACAGGCCTTATAATCAATTTGATTTCTTTTAAAAGTTGATATAAATTTGTATTTTCACGGTGCAAAGTGTACCATCAGAAAACTTAAATATTTTTTTTTTAATCAGAAACATTTACTTATTCATATATAAGCTTAAAAAATGCCAGAGATATAACAGAAAATAAGAAAGGAAAATTAGAAAAAGAAGGGAAAGGAGAAGACTGTAGTGCATGGCAATGCACCACAGTATGGTGACAATACTTCCTACTCATGGATTGCTTATGGGGTTGCAACTAAAATATATTATTTAATAATTTATCAGCTAAGAAAGCTTTTGTTTTTAGAATTTGGCATGTGGTTTAACAAAATAGTCCAATTTAAAAAGAATCAATTTTGAATTGTGAGGATATTAGAAATTTTTTTAATTTTTAAAAGATTAATACATATAAGTATTTAAGTAAAAACACTGCACTATTTTACAATGCAGATTTACAAACTTATTCTTAAATACTTACTACTAACTATTATTTTAATATTTCACTCAAATACTGAAATACAAATTTCTTTACCCAAATTCATTTAAAAAAACTGGTGCTACTTATTTTTTAAATGATTAAAATTACACAATCCTGCTTTCCACAATCCAAATAACATTCGAGCTGTTGTGGAAAGTATGAGCATGTAAATGATATTTACACTTAAAACATAATTAAATTATTTCGTACAATAAATAAAGAATCAGTATAACAAAGCTTTCTTGATGATATGAATTTAATATAAAATGAAACCTTGGAATGCAAGTATTTCACAAGATAAGTAAAATGTTAATGAACACAGAGAGTAATATGTCTTGTTTTGTTTGCTGAGCTTGCGATTACAGCCCTGTTAATATATCTACTCCATCTCTTGCTGAGGGTTTATAGATAATCATTTCCCATGCTCAGTCTCAGTTGGCATGCTTAACATGCACAATCAATAACCATATGAATATATACTGCTTACTATAGTATTGCGATCATATATGTGCAAAAAGCACTTCTTTTTATTTTATATGTAAGTGCCCTTTAGCAACTGTATTGCAACATTAGCGTCCATAAAGAAAAGTGGTGAAAAAAAGGAAGGCAGTTAAGAAGGACATCATTCTGACACATGAATGGTATGCAAGAGTAATGAAATTGCATAATTTTATAATGAGTCTACATTGATGGTTTGCTCAATATTACAGAAAAATTAAGAAATAATGTAGTAAAAGTAGCCACAGGAGTGTGAAAGCAATAATCACACGTTCTGGAAGATATAGAAAAGTTGTTTTTCTAGTGAATGAACAAGAAGCAACCTGCAAGTAATACTAATATTAGTAAGTTATTTATTGAAGTCGAAGAGCTTTTCCTACAAAAAGGCCTTGTACATTTACTTCTTAAGTTAACTAACAAATACACTGATAAAAAATCAAAGTAAGCAAGGGATAATCTAGTATTTTTAAAACATGTAGTAAGGCATGGAGAAATTGCAAATTCGGTACCTAAGGCATTTGCTGCCAGGCTCCCTAAGTTCATGTTTTTCGAGTGTTATCTTCCGCAGGAAGTTTTTAATTGTGATTAGATGCTGTCTTTTTGGAAAAAAGATGAATACCTACACAATGGCAAGTCTCATGGAAATTCATATAAGACCACCCCAGTCTCTTATTATTTTCTAGGGGATTTAAAAGTCAATCCTTTATTCACATATCAACCTGTGAATCCACGAACTTTCAAGAAATGCAAATGCAGAACAGCCAATTAAATATTATTAACTCCAATAGCAAGACTCGTAATCTTGTTCATTAGGTATCATTATGGTCTCTAATTATGTAATGAATAAATATCTTTTCGAAAGGGAGCTTCTGCCGAAAGCCTTGGTGGTTATATATAATGATCTCGTTCATCCTCCAGGCTTTTAAAACAATTTGCTGAAGGAATCTGAGTTCATTAAATTCGAATTCTCTCAATTTCACTCAAATACTCACACTCAAAGATTAGCAGGGCTTTTAAAAATTCTCAAAGCTTTATACCAAAGTGCTATTTCAGTGACATTTTGAGGTGACTAAGGGAGCAAAATTTACTCCCTGGTCATTTCAGAAAAATCATTCCCACATCCTAATCAACCTAAAGATCATCAATAAAGTCTTGTAAATAAATCACAGGAAAACTTTCAATTCCGCTGAGAGGAAATTTATTTGAAATTCATATCCGAGGTCTGATTGCAACCTCAGATTTGAATCTGATAGATTTATTCATGAGCTGCCACTTATTGATAAAAATGTATCTTTAAGGATGTTAATACAATGCTACTTTTATTCAGGAATACTCGAATTCACACTGAACTACCAGAATTCAGCAATTTTATCACACAGTTGCTGGTGAGAGAAATTCTCAAAAGAAGGCAAAAGCAACTGTCACTGGCTAGGTTTCTTGTCGCACAGGGAGGGGGGGGAGGGAAAGAACCAACAGGTACCAATTTATGCACTAGTTAGCCACGACTCTTTTCAGGCTAATTTAATTTTACTTTTATTTTGTATTTTATATTTATTATTTTATATAAATATTTCTGGGTTGCTGAACAAATCACTTTAATTTCTGTTATTTCTTACTTGGAAATTTACTTTGAAGAATGAGTGCTTTGGAGCGAAAGCGTGTTTTTGGAATGAATTATGCTAGCAAACTAAGGTTTCAGTTAATACATATCCTAAAAGTAGAGCATTTTTTTTTCATGCATGAGAAACTATGAAAGCATTCTAAGAAATCATACGGTAAAAACAAAGATAAAGGAAATTCATATACTTTACACTACTGAGAAAAAACAAAACTTTCGGTGGCAGATTGTGAGGAAGGATTACGCAGGTACATACTTTATTACTAATCTGATGTCAAAAATGAGTTAGAAATTATCTAATATACAAATTTAAGAAAAGGATATTAATACCTTCAAATAAAAAAACTGGCACTTTCATAAATACAAAGATTCATTTTTTAAATATAGCTTCAGTTAATAAGTTAACTTCAATAGCTACAAAAACATAATTCTTTCACAATAGATCAAAATGCACTTTTTAAATCAGATTTTAACTGGAACATATATACATGAAAAATTTTTAAAATAATTGCGAAAGTCAGGATTAAGACTACATTATTTTACATTCTTTGAAAGAACACGTAAAATATAGGACAAGAAGAAAAGTGTATAACAGAGTAACCAAACAAAATTCTAGATATTTAATTACATCTACTAGCAGACAGTATTGTTTAATTTTATTACAGAGCATTACAATTAATTGCTCAGACATGAAAAAGCATTATTATAAGTCATTCAATAAAAAAAGAAAGAAAGAAACACTTTTAAAGAGATGCAGCATAATTAAAAGAGCTATTTTATTTATAGCACTACAGATCATAATTATATCATCTTACTATTTGTGTTATTATTTTATTATTCATAACAATCTCTACAGTAGGTCTACATAACTGTCTAAATAAGAATACTTCAAAATAAAAAAAATAATAAACACTGAAAAAGTAAAATGCACTTAATATAATTATCATATATTTTTTAAAAAATGGCTCATGTCACAAGATTAACTGTTTTTAATCCCTGAAAGACCATTAAAAACTGGGAATATAAAATCTTTTCCTACTGACAATATAAAATTTAATTGCTAAAATGTGAGAGATGTACATAACATTCAGATTAATATTTGTATCTGATAGTATTAGAAAAAATAAAACTGGAACTACTACCATTTTACCACAAAATATATTTGTTTTTAATTCATGATGAACAAAGAAAAAAAAAAGGTTTAACTATATATATATATATATATATATATATATATATATATATAAATTAAAAAAGAAAGTCAGATCCACATGCATATATGAGAAAACTACCAAACACTTGTGAATGATCTATAATAGCAATAATTAAGTATAGACATTACTTGGCTTTTATTCAGAGTTTAAAAATATCTTACAGGAATATTTACATTTCTTGTCAATGCAAAAATTTTCAGCTTTTAGACTCACTAAATGAGCAATTATATATCTCTTACTAAAGATTATCCATGCACATGGGCCAATGAATTTAGAAACCTTTATGCAAATTAGTGCAATGATCACTTGTTGTGCATTAATGTAAATTATATAACGTCAAATATAATTACATGATCTTTGCACCTATTTAAAAGTGTTACATACCAGTAATCAAAATAATTTTCTGACAATGGATAAAAATAAAATGATTTTTCAAAACTTGAAAGAGTTTGTCAGTTCACAGCATAGCAATTAATAAAAAAATTAAAAAATTAGTTTTCCAAAGAATAAGACCTAGTATAGTAAAATAACTAATTCATACTGTCTAATTAACCTTCACCACCCAAAAGATATGTTATAACAAAGAGGTGAACATTATTTAAATGTCTGAAGAAAGGGAAAAAAAAAAAAAAAAAAAAACTTTAGATGGGGAGGGGAAAGAAGAAGAATTCATTCAAAATTGGCTATTCTGCAACCCATACTAAACCACACTATGGGCAGGGAATATCAAAGAATGTATTCAAATGCTCAAAAGAATATGGTAAATTTCTGCAAACAGGAATACTTGATTCAACAATAATAAGAATAAATTTGAATGAATTATAAAGAACAGGAAATAAATTATGTTTCAATCATATTACATTCCACTTTGTATTATGTCATCAAAGTGCTTGGCAGGAACTCTTGAACAAATGAACTGTTTTGTCATGTGCATATAGTTTAAGGTTCTGAAGGAAGTATCAAACATATATTTAGGTATATAAAGTTCATAAATATTTTGCAGATGACAATTACTCATTCTATCATGCAAAAGTTGTTCAAGAGTGCTCTGAAGAACATCACAATTACTTTCAATAACTTCCTTACTTGTCTAAGTGCCCATATTTGAATCACATGCACAAGCTGCATTAAAAAAGGCTTTTTCAATATTCTATGGATGCAGACCATTGAAAGATCTTGTGCAATTAAATTATATAGATATTGTAGTTCAAGTTAAAAGAGGCCCAATAAAAATACTAATAAAAGATTTATAATTCAGAAGCTGATGGGTGTAGACGAACTAAAAAGAAAATTAGCTTTCAGCTCTGGATAATTTCCTCTGAATTTACATATACACTAGTAACTTTTGCATATCACACACAGTAAAACTAGACACCAGAATGATCCAAGAAACCTGTAAGTGTTATAGACTAGCCTTTTTAGAAGTAACAGGAAGTTTTCCGTAAATACAGTATCAAGTGTAGGTGAGCTGATGACTGCTGAAATATAAGTATGACTAACTCCTCACTCCTTCAACATAACTCTTGATCTCAAATGAAATATTACAAATGTTACATTCTGCATGCATTAAAGACTAGTTTGTTCACTACAGATTTAAGAATGTTTAAAATAATATTACATATTAGGAGACTTTACATTCATATTAAAATGTATATGCTTTAAACTTTTTTTTTTTTTTTTTTAAATTTTTTTTTTACTAAAGTGAGTGGTGCAACAACCCTTAGTGAGCCATGGCCTGCAATGCCTTGATATCTGCTTTCTTGACTGTGGGCCTCAGTATATACCCTGGACAAGTGGTCAGCTTGTTGCAGGGTCCTGCGACAGTGCTTAGTCCCAAGCAAACTTGACACTCATTTGATTAACCCAATCAAGGGATGAAAGGCTGAATCAATCTTCACAGCCCGAGTATCAAACCCTGGACCTGTGTTGTTCCTGCGTGACAAGCTAGCCATTGTGCCACCGGGCCTTGCATGAATCTTTACAGTACTTATTATCCACACAATAAATTATGTGCCATAAAAATTAATGTGAATGTACATTTCATTTATATGTGCCATTAAATTTATTAAAATATAAAAAGAGGTTAAAAGCGGCACCATGCCACAAAAATCTTTTATATCTGTGATTTTTAATATGAAATACATGTGGCTTTTCATTTTACTCATGTTTTTAATTACATAAGGCAGATCTATCCATATTACCTCAGATAATCAGGGTTCTACAGTCAGTGCTCCTATGCAGTTATGTCACAAAAGTTTTCCATTTCTAAACTAAATTATTTTTTATGCAGGTGTTACACACACGCACAGGATAATTCCAACCTCTTGAAGGAACAGGTTTCTGAGATAAAGAGCATTCATGACATACTCCTTCTCCACATGATCGGCAATGGTGTTTGGATAGCTTAGGACCAAATTCTTTATTACACACATAGCAATTAGTCAAAAGATGATCAGGAACCCAATAGGATGGTCGGGCAGAATCTTTTATAATTCCTTTAAACATAGGGGGAAAAAAGAGATTTAATATATTTTCTTTTACATAACCAAAAATTTTGATACAAATTCTAAAAAGATAATTTGCTTTCATTGTTAAGAGGAATATTTGAATCTTTTTTGTAGTATAACAACATGTGCCAAATGATTTTCTCACATGAAGTGCCACCTCGATACTTCCAACAAGAAAACCTACTTTCATCATCAGCCCATTTTGACTGTGGTAAAATTCTTCTAAATATTAGAAATATATCTCTTCTGTTAGTTATTTTAATAAGCACAGAATGATGCACTTTAAAAAAATTTTTATTCACAATACTTACATGAACATAAGAACAACATATTTAATGGTGGCCAATATGCAACACTGACACATATCAGAAATTGTCTCTTTTGTATTGCAATATAAAGAAATGGATCTGATTATTTTGATGATGATGCTAAGATAATTACAGCTAAAAAGTGATGTGCAAGCATATACTCACAGAAGAACAAGAGTATTATTATACAAAATATTTAAGCAACAAAAGTGAAAACAGAAAAATAATACTAATTCTCAGAATCGTGTAATTAAAAATTAAGTATTATTTTGAGGGAAAAAATTGGTATAATTTACTTATAAGTCCTTAAGATGAAAACATACATAAAAATAACAGCTGTTATCTGGCAAATGTCTATTTGAAGTACAGTGTAATTAAGAGATAAATTTAAAGGAAAATCAAGAAAGCAGGAGCAGTAGAGGAAATAATACAGAAACTATAGTACATATTTAAATGCATAGCTATACAGGATGAAAGGAGAAACAAACAGCCACTATTTCAAAAGATAAAATGAAACCTGCAAGTCAAATCAATGAATATTTATTTGAATATTTTCATGCTGAGGTATGTGATCTAAAGGAGCTGATATATAACTCTGAAAGTTAGCAACAAGCATAAAGATGTAATCATTCGCAGATTTTATATAATTTACGTGAAGATTTCCTTTTAAGAAGCATACAATTGATTAATTTTGCACAAAAACATCAACAGCAGCAATTTTTTTAAGTCATAATACCACAAATGATTTGAATTGCTTAAAAATACACTCTTTTGCAAAAAAAAAAAAAAAAAAAGAGAGAGAGAGAGAGAGAGAGAGAACTAAGCACCAAGAAGGACTTTTGCGATCAATACGAAATTTGGTATGCAAAAACATCTTGATCGAACATGCAAATGATCAAAGTTTCACAGCAAATGAACAGGAATTGCAATCATAGCGCACATTTCTAGTGCACAATTCGCAAAATATAAAATCAGTAACAGAGGCAGAAAGTTTATCTTTTATTGTTGCTGCCACTGTAATTCTGTAAAGAAGCAACTACAGTTGCCATTACAACGATATCGAAAACCTTACAGACAACTAAACGACTTTGAACATGGTTGCACTATAGGGTTGCGTGAAGCTGGGTGATCATACCGAGCAATAGGCCACCACCTGCAGCATCCAGACACTGCTGTGCAAAGATGTTGGCAGCAATGGTTGCTACAAGGAAATTGTCAAGGATCACAAATGCGAGGCAAGATAGGATCATTGTTTGCAAGGCATGAACTGCCCCAAACGGTATCATTTTCGACTATTCAACGCACTACAGATAAGTCTATACCTCCCACGGTACCGTCCACCATCTAATGTCGCTTGTCTGAGGCATAGTTATGATCACAGAGGCCTTTAATACATTTGCCTTTGAGCCCACAACATCGGCGGAGTGGTCTGGAGTAGTGTTGCAGCCGATCATCATGGTTGCCATCAGATTGGCATCGCATAGTGTTCAGCGATAAATCCCGTTTCACTCTTGAAGCAGATGACCACCCTGTTCATGTCTGGAGAGGACGAGGCCAGCAGTCCCAATCAGCCTTTGTACTACAAAGGCATACAGTCATAACCCCTGGTATGATGGTGTGGTACATCTTTAACAGCTCAACATCTTTAACAGCTCAACCATATGCTGATACCATCCTGCGGCCGTTTGCATTACCCTTCACTGGCACGTCATCCTGGGGCCTTTTTCCAACAAAATAATGCCAGGCCACATACCGCTAGCATATCTCTGGACTGTCTCCGTGTGGTTGATACTCTTCCTTGACCAGCAAGGTCAAAAGACCTTTCACCAATCGAGCATGTCTGGGACATGGTGGGCCACCAGATTCGGGCACAATAAAATATCGCAGGTCTGGAGTGACAACTGATGAATGCCTCACAGAATGTGTCGCAGGATGACATAAGGAACCTCTACCACTCCTTGCCTTGACGAATTTAAGCATGCATTGCCGCCAGGGGCAGTTCGACCATCTACAGTCAAAAGTCGTTAATTCGGAATGATCTATAATCCGGACCTCAAAACAAAAAAAAACTTTCTGCGCATGCGCCGCGTTGACACATGCGCAAAGGCGTTTACGCGTGCACGTAAGACCTTTTACGACTGAGCATATGAGTGTGCGCAAGTGCAGAATACGTTTTCGCGTGCGCCTTTTATGTATAATGGACGTAAAAGCTAAATAATTATCTATTTCAGTTAATGTTGATGATTGCGTTGTTGCTTAATTTTCGAATTGGATATTATTTTTTGCAGACTGTAAGAGCAATTTTATAAAAGTAAGTTTAAACTTTCGATTATATCAAATAGAATTTCCGATATATATTTGTTAATATGTAAAAGATCTAAAGCGAAAGTATGTTTTGAAATCCGAAATCTGTTTATCAATTTCACGCTGCTCGGCGGGGGGAATGCCGCGGCGGGGGAACTCCGCGGCGGGCGCGTAATGAATTGGAAGTTGATCTGTCAGCACTATCCTTATCTTCAGAGCAGATGTTTTTATTTTATTTTGGCTTATAATTCCTTATCAAATGTAGTATTTCATCTCGATGTGCTCCATCTTTGATATGATTTAAAACAAGTTCCTCGTCATTATAATTCGCTTCCGATAGCGAAGAAAGTGACAGAGGTTATTGAAAACGAAAAAATTTCGATTTACAAATTAGTCAGTATTCTCGAAAAAGCAATTATAGGACTTGAACAGCGGAACTTTGTAACTGAACAAGAAATTATGTCTATTTAATAGAATTAAAGAGAAAGTATTATCACATGAAACGAAGCAAAACTTAAACAACTTACATTGAAAGAAATGTTTAATAAAGTAAATAAATAAATATTAAGCTTTTTCTTTTTGCAAATTTTGATACCCTTTAGATCATAATTGTTCTTTATTTCATAAATTACGGTTTCATACTTTTAATTTTAGAATTTCTGCATGCCATCTTACGAGATTTAAACTGATGATCTATAATCCGGAAAAATCGAGAATCCGGAATCGCTGAAGTCCCGACGAGTCCGGATTAATGACTTTTGACTGTATTAATTTGAACACTCAATGGGTGATTGTGAGCCATGAACAGGTACTATGACCTTGATTTTTTATATAATTATATTATCTGTGTATGAGTTATACACATATTCAATTTCATCAAAAACAAGAACTTCCTTCATGGTGTATTAATGCTTACAAAAGAGTGTATTAATGCTCATGTAAAAACATATTAATAATAATTCAAGAATTTTATTGCTAATCTAGGATTCTGTAAACACCTTATTTATGGTTTCAGTATGCTTCTTAAAAACAGCACCTGGCATTTAGTTCATCTTGTGAACAAAGCCAAAATTTGTCAAAAACCCCATAACACAGCAGATGAAAAATCCAACAAGATTGATTTCGTCTCCCCTTTATACCTTTGCAAAGGAAAATACTTGCAAGTAAATTTACTGATCTCTTATTTTTCTTCACTCAATGAAAAAATTTCAAGGCTTTAGTTGAACAGGAGGAATTTCTTGACTTTATACAGCAAACGTCCCCCCCCACACATCCCTGTACGAAGTAAAGGAACAACTGTAATCGCGAAACATTCTGGGATTATATTTCAATGAAAATATCTATTTTGACCGGTCTTAAATCCATTTAAATGATATTTTTGTGTGGTATTTGTACATATGGATAGAATAAAGGACTCTTTTTCCCAAAGCAGACTGTAAAATGGATATAGAAGAATTTTTTGTGACGTCTGTACATACATATATGTATGTATCTTGCATAATCAAAAATATTTGCATAAACAACTCATTTGTTTCAGAATGTTGGAATTTTGTACATGAGTCTGATATAACATGTAATTCTGCACCTCACTTTTTGATTGCAATCAGCCACACCAAAAGTATATAAATATATATAGATAGATACTCACTCTGTTCCTGGCACAGCAAGCTTAGTTTTATTCTTATATCTTGGTAAATTGTACATTTTTTGCTTTAAAAGTGATTGAATTACGTTGTTCTTATGATCAAGTTAAGGTGTTTATGCCTTTAGTTTATCTGCATGCAATAAATGTAGAATTATCAACAATTTAAAAGTTGTTCAAGTGCCCCCCCTTTTTTTAAACCATAGCAGGCATATTTGTTTACATTTGAAACTTAGTAGAGAATAGTGAATCAAGTCAGTTTCTGCCTCTTCAGCGTCTTTTTGCTGAGTAAGACCAAAAGTAAACTTTTAGTTTGGTGCATCGAAAATTCTGTATTCTTGTCTACGGGCAGAATTCCTTGTTTTTGCGTAAAAAACTCTAGTTTTAAGCATAATTTTTTTTAAAATTGATTAAACTGTATATGGTGTTTTATATTTTCATATAATTTTCAATTTTTAATAAAGATATTTTGAGGTTTTACGTATTTTTGCCTTGTCGCGAAGTGAGAACTGAATGCAGTGCTTTAAGAATAACTGGTGACCTCAAAATTAAATATTCTAGATTTGGTGCTCTTCCCCTAAATTCAACTGTTTTTCCAAATTCAAGATCCTTAAATGTTATATAGCAACCTAACCTAAAATTAAGCAATTATAGCTTGTCTCTACAATTGCATCTACTTCGGTCTAAACACCGCTTGCAAGAAATTACGTCATTCTTTTCCTAGCTTCCTCCACTGCTTACACGTCCCTGCCTGCTAAGCCCACTAGCCTAAAATGATGTCATATCCCTCTATCTGTGTATATAAGAATTATTGTAATTCATTATGACTGGATAAATGTCTGCTAAGATGGTTTCATATGTGTGAAAATGAAGATTGGGATGTCTCCAAAATTCATTTGTGTCGGTGTCATTTTTTTATCGTTCTACTCAGCCATCTAAAACTACAAGCTAATAACGTATCCGGATTCCTCCTTAGCATTAAATCATCAGGCATATATACCCATTCTGTTACTCGGATCATTAAGCTCAGTATTTTTTATTCTTATATGTTGGTAAATTGTGCAGTTTTTGCTTTAAAATTGATTGAATTATGTTGTTCTTATCTTCTGGTTAAGGTTTTTATGCCTTTAGTTATTATCAACAACTTAAAACTTGTTTAAGTGCGACTAAGCCTTAATTTTTTTTTTTAACAATAGCAGCCATATTTGTTTACATTTGAAACTTAGCAGAATAGTGAATTAAGTATTTTTGCACCCTTAGTGTCTTTTTTCCAAAAGAGATCAAAAGGACACTTTTATGCACCGAAAAATCTGTCTTCCTGTCTGCTGGCCAAATAACTTGTTTTTTAGTAGAAACTCTAATTTTAATTATAAAAATTTTTTTTTAGTTGTTTTAACTTTATTTGGTGTTTTATGTTTTCCACATCTTTGAATTTTCAATGAAAATATATTTGCCTTCTCATGAAATGAAAACTGAACTAATTGAATGAGAAATCTACCTCTGATGAAATTCGAGGAAATAAGTTGGTGCTACTTTGTTAGACACTGCACAGGTTTTTTGCAGTTTTCCTTGGTGCAAATGTTGGCATGATGGCACCCACTGCTGGAACATTGATTTATGGTAACCCATAATTTGCACGCTGTGATGTTTGACATCATTTTTAAAATAATGCATTTCAATATGTATAAATTCTGTGTTTTAAATATTATTTATTGCTGTTAAATATTGAAAATTGATTTAATTTTGCATTTTTATTTGAAATATTGATTTTATTATTTATGATATTTTAAACTATTTTATACTGTGGATGATGCAACAAATGACTTCATTTTATTTTTAAAATAATGCGTTTTAAGATCTATAAATTTTGTGGGTATTTTTCCATTTTGCGAGCGCAGGCGATAAAGTCGCCAAAAATTGTACAACTGATGCCAAACAGAATATCCTCGCTGGTGATCTTTTATGTTTCATTTTCAAAACAAGTCGCAGTCATTTCTTATCAGATTGATTGTTTCTTTCAATACTGGCATACAACTACATAGAATTTTTACCACATAGTTAAATTTTATGTCCTAAGGCCATTCATGGTAATTTAGTTAATTAGGGTGCAATCACACTGCTCACCTGAAGGTGAAAATATAGAAAAGGCAAAGTCAAGGGTTAAATTCATAAATTCTAATGAGGATGCACTAGTGAAGTACAGCACTGCAGTTTTACATAACTCCTGACTGAGTAAGCTATTCGCACAAATTGAAATAATTCTTGCATTTAAACTTGTATTTCATAAGATTTAATTTAAGTTTCAACTTGAAACTAATGTAGATAATTACATAGAGAATTAGATTTTTGTACTGTAGTTTATGTGAGATGAGATCACTTGGGGTCATGTGATATGAACCGCTGAATTAGGATTTTGAACCATGAGAGAGCATAATAAATTCTTAAATTAATGTATTTTTACAAATTGTCTTTATTTATTGTCTTTTTGTAAAATTTTAAATGATATTAAAATGTTTCTGCCTTCAAAATAAAAAATTCTTAGAACTAACATCTGTTAAAATTTTTTATGCATATACTGAGTGTTGTCGCCAATAAATTTTGCTTGACGAGATTTGCACCGGCGAAACGGAAAAATACTATTTTGTGTTATAATATTTATAAATCTTGTGATTTAAATACTATTTATGGCTGTTAAATATTAAAATATGATTTAATTTTTCACTTTTATTTGAAAAACAGATTTTATTATTTATGATTATTTAAATAATTTTAATGTTGTTGATGATGTAATCAGTATTAGAAGTGCAGCGCTGTGCCATATGACGTGATCTGCTTGTGATTGTTTTTAACTGGATAGTTCATTGGCTCGCTGATTGGTTACAGAATATTTGTGCATTACTGCACCAATTTTTAGAAATTTTATTCCGTTATACGTACAAGCACCATTTACAGTTACCTTTTGTGGATTGTACGGCATATTTGGATCTACTCGATATTTGCAATAGCTTCAATTTTACCAATGAATGTCTTTAATGGTAAATACCAACAATTATTGATATAAGAATCTAGTACTTCTTCTTTGACACCTTATTTTGGCTGACCTGACTTTCAAAATAAGAGGTTCCTTTATAAATTGCTTCAAGGGTCGGAGGGAATTTATTTATTTTTTACTTTATTTTAATGTGTTTCAATTCAAATAATAACTGCATATATTTGCAATGGCAGCATATATTTGCAGCAATATCGATATTTGCAATGGCTTCAGCTTTACTCATGAATGTCTTTATTGATAAGTAGCAACAATTATTGGTATCAGAATCTAGTACTTCTTCTTTGAGACCTTATTTTGGCCAACCTGGCTTTCTAAATTAGAGGTTCATTTATAAATTGTTTCAAGGGTCAGAGGAAATTTATTTTGAATTTGTAATATCTTAATCTCATTAAACGTCTGTGCGATGTTTTTAAAAAAGCGGTGGTTTTATTGTATTTCGTTGCTATAAAAGTAATAATATAACCTTGCTTTAGTATTTTATATTCATAATAAATGTATTTTTATTTAGTGTGTAAATTAATGTGTAATTTATGTAAATTGTTGCAAAGATCACAGGAAATTATTTATTTTAAATTTGTGTAGTTTAAAGTGTTTCAGTTCAAGTAATATTTTAATCTTATTAAACATTGTTGCGATGTTTTTAAAGAGGTGCTGTTATTGTATTTCTTTGCTATAAAAGTAATTACTTTACTTTAGTATTTTATATTCATTTACAATTGCCTGCAATCTTGAAAAAAGACATTTTCATGAAAAAATTAATACATTATTTTCAATGATATCGCATATTTTTAAAGTGTTGAATATTTTGCTATCCTTAATGGTGTTTTTCAAGACGGCGGGTGATTGTAAAAATCACACCGAGGAAAATCGCCAAACCCCCTGTGCCTGTCTAACAAAGTAGCACCAATAAGTTTAAATGAAATGCAGCAAAAAATGCATATAACATTTCCGTGCAAGGAAGTCATGTGGTGTACACATCAGATATTTTCCTATTATTAAAATGAATAAAAAATTTATTTTGAAAGGTTATTTCAAATGCAAACTGTTGTTGGCTGCAAGTAAAACTATCTATAAAATGTTTATTCTCTTTCCCAAAGACATAAATACTTAATTTGTTCACAATTTATAGTTTAAAACCAATCTGCTCTTTATGATTTATCATCAGTTGGGTTTAAAACAGCAACTTCAACAACATATGACAACCAATTTCACTGATCAATTAAACTGTTTCAGAAGAACATGAAATGAGCTTCAATAAAAATTTTGAGATGGTTGATTATTTAAAATCTTCATTTGCAAAACTTACTACACAATTAAAAAAAATTCTAATTGGAAAGCTGACAAAAATTCATTAGCTTTCACTTCTAAAAGCACATGATAGGAAAAAGATAAAAGAACTCACCAAGAGGATAACTAACAGCTGAAGCAACAGTTTCAAGAGTTGTATGGACAGCTTCTCCCAGCTTCCGAACAGTAACTTCTGGGGGATTATGTAGATTCTGAACATTTGACAAGTTATCTGGAAGAGAATCTTAGGAAAGGATTTAAAATAATAATAAAAAAGTTACATTAAAACAATATATATTGAACTATATATTAAATCCTAATATTAACAACATTCTTTCTCAGATATAACCAGATAATAATGCAAAGATTAAAAAATACTTTTAAAACGTATTAACATAAGATCTAAAAAACTAGGCACAATAAAAAAAAAAAAAAAAAAAAAAAAAAAAAACACGTTTTTGGAATTTCATCATATAAATTATCATAATATAGAAATTAATAATAGCATATGCCAAGATTTTACAAAGATGAATACCTACCAATTGCAGGTTTTATTTTCGAAAAACATACAGAATTACTTCATACAGCACACCACCATTATTTACTTCAAAAGAAGATCCATCCAAATATATGATTGATTGCCCCTTACATTTTAGGTTAAATTTTAAGAAATAAAAATTGTAGGTGAATATTTAATGAATATTTAATGACAGCATGGTTCTAATTAGAAATAAAGGCATACTATGGTATAGAAAAACTAGGGAAATTTTAAAATGCAGTATTACTTATTTGTGTTCAGGTATATCAGTAACCCGTACAATGGATGCATAATTAGTGGTAGTTATGCTGCTTATGTATTAACTATAAGTTTTATTTAACACTTAAACAATATATATATAGTATGATAAGTGAACTCCTTTTTCTCATTCTGGAATTTCATTTATTAAAATACCTAACTATACTAAATTCTAGAACAAAAATACAACAATAAAGAGGGTTCTTATTTTTGAATAAATACAGTATTTTATACATATTTTTGGTGGCAGGTCCATGAAGGAGAGCATCTCCTTGGATCTTTCACAGCTCCTCTCTCCTTAAGATACAAGGTGTGTTGAATTGATTTTTTAAATTAATCACTGATTTGCAGACACCTTAGAACATCCTGGTCCTTGTGATTGCAATGTGAGTGAGCCCATACACACCCCTCTAAACATTCTTTTAAATTACAAAATACTATTTTGTATAAACTTTGCTGCTAATTTACTTTCCATTTGTTTTTAACAAATTTCAGAAATTTTGTAATAAATATCTGTGTTAAATTTTCACTCAATGATACTAAATTTTACAAGTTCTCATTTCTCAAGAACCTATTTAAGAAATAATTACATTCCCCTCTTAATTTTTTACTTATTAACAATATGAAATATACATTGTGCCATATTTTTCATTATTTAAATTAAATATAAGTCATTGATTACAATACTTTCCCATTCAAATTTGTATTATTATTCATAACAAAGTATACAACTAAAACTAGCAAACTAAATGAACTGATGCAAAATGAGAATGTTCCACTGCCTGGAAGAAGCGTACTTCTTCCAGGCAGTGAAATAAACTGGAAAGGAAGAAAATGGAAGAAATTAACAAGTAACAAATGTACTTAAGTTTTTCCTCCCTTCTTCTTCTCTCTTCTTCCCACTTTTTTTTATATATTATGAACTGAAATTTAATATCAAAATTCATTCAAACTCACAGATGTGAAAGCAGATCATATGGGAAGCATACACAAAAGTGCATACATATGAAGGACCAAAATTATTGCAGGCATAAAAATTAAGACTAAATATACATACAATGAAAATATTTAATTGATTAACAATGTAGCATTGTTATAGATGAATAAAAATATAAATATTAATAATAAGTAAAAGAAGTAAAAAGCATCAATTTCTTTCTGCTGATTTTCTCCAACATAGGAAAAAGCTTACCAGCTGCACTGAGAATATAATATCTGCAAAATCTTTTTCCCTGATGCTGTTTGTATGATAGACAAGAATTTATCTTTAATGAAATGTCCCATGAACTACATAAGGTAACTGATATTAAAGTTCAGAAGGATTAGTGCAAATTTTCTTCTCTTTTGAAATTACCCATTTAAAATTACAAAATAGATTATATCAAAAAATATTCGGTTCTATTATTCTGTTTTTATGATAATGTAGCTTTAATTATGTTATTCAATTTTGTTTCATATTCTCATTGAAAAATAATGTTATTTCGGCATTTTTCTAATTTAGTGTATTGAAACTCACTTTCAGAATTGATTTAAAAATTCATAGAGGGGAAAGTAAATCTCCTAGCAAGTACACAAATATGTACATATATATTACAAAAAACAGGTTACTACAAGTGTATAAATGAAGCTATTATAAAGAAAATAGGTATATTTAAACTAATAATATATCAGTGCTAGTCACAGATTAAAAAAGTAGAAAAATATTATTAAGTTTGTTCTGTTTCTTTTGGACAGTTTTTTCCATTGTGGAAGAAACTGATTCAAACATCACTGAAGCAGCTGAAAAAACAAAACTGCTTTATTTCTGATGGCAATGTTCAGAAAAGAACTACTTTTGGAACAGAAACACCATTTTTTCTATATTTTAAGCAAATAACTTTCTTTGACACCTGAGTGTAACCTTCTCAGCAGTAGAAAAGTTCCCGCTGCCAAAGTTCAATCTAGTCAGTCTTGTGGCACCGTTTCTATTTAGTAATCAGCACCATTTCATTGCTGGTCTATACAGCTTGGAGTTGTCAATGGCGAAGGTTCACCAACAATGGCACCAACTGAAGGTCAATGCCCCTTGCTGCTCTGCTAGAGTTAACACCCCAAATGGGGATCCAATGAATTGTAGCACGATCGTGGAATGAAGCGTTCAACTGCTATGAGAAAGTTATCTTACAAACTTCCAAATCAAATTCCCTCCCACTGATAGTGCACTCATGCTAAAAAAATAAGTAACATATACTAAAAGAAAAGATACAAATGTAAAAAAGGCAATAAAACATATAATTTACATATAAGGTAGAGGCAGCAATGCCAAATGCTAATAAGCAATGAAAATTAGCAGGAAAAGCAATCTCACAGTCACACCTCAATGCCTTTAAAAGAGACATGCTGAACCTATGTGTCAGTTCGCAAACAAACATAATTCCATGTAATCTGAAATAGCCAAAGCAGACAGCATCAGCCGAAGACACTATCTGCATGAAGAAATGCATTAGAGGGCTGTCTGGATGTTGCAAGTTTGTGCTGCAAGACAATCCTGCTGTTGCGAGGTAATTGAATGTGCATCACAATGCCATCAATAGGTTGCAGAATCGTTACCAATGGGATCAAAACTACTGTAGAAAACGTGGGTCTAGATGTCAAAAGATTACCGCAATGGCAGACAATCGCTTCCTGTTGCTATGTGCAAGATGCCGTAGATGACCAACAGCACTACAACAGGTGTCGCATTTCTTCGCTGCTGCAAGACGGCCCATATCCTGCCAAACTGTGTCATTTTGACTGCACGAAGATCGTCTGCATGTCCGACGATGTACCTTTGTTTCCATCGCATGTCAAAGTGCAGCTGAATTGGGCCCATGAACATTACATTTGGGTACTAGAGCAGTGGGGCCATGTGTTCTTTATGGACACCTCTTGATTTAATGTCGAGAAAGATTCCCAAAGCACAATGATATGCCCAGGACCATGGACACACTATCGGGTGTCAAACATTGTCAGAAACCACAACAGAAGAGGAGGCTTACTAGTATGGGCTGGCTGGGATAGCAACGAACGGCCATACCGACCTCTATGTGTCATACCTGGTGGTTCCATCAAAGCAATCTTATACTGTGATGAAATTCTACACCTTCTTGTGCATCCTTTTATGACTGCAATGGGTACTGAAGCAATATTTATGGATAATAATGCCCACTCGCATAGAGCGAAAAGTGATGCGAAGTTATCCGGAGAGTAAAATCATTCCACATCTGGCGTAGTCTGCTAGATCATCAGCCTTGAATTCCATCAGACATGAAGTCCATATATGTATGGGACATGTTGGTATGACAGATGTCAAAGTTTGTCGCAGACAGCTTCCACAAGCTCCGACATATATTACTACAGGAATGGGTGCTACTGCCACAACAAGCAATCAACAACACTATTGTCAGGTTGCCTCACCAATGTCTAGCATGCATTTCAGCCACAGAGTATGATACTTGTTATTAGAGTGAAGTTTCCATCGTGCTTCTCACCCGTTTGCTCTTTTGTGATGTGATGGTCATAACACGTGTGTTTTTTGTATGTCTTTGCTTTATTCTTAGCTGTGTAGTCAAGTAATCACACCGACATCCTGGATCAATTTCATGTATATCGATTAAATAGTTTTTGTTTTTATTCCATGTTTTGCCATTGTTGCTTATTTTTTTAGCAGGAGTGTATGAGGAAGAATTTGATTTATACTTTACTGATTCCAAGGAATTTCAAATATAGCAGCTTGCGCTGTTCCTTCACTTTCTGAATTGATCCAGCTCATTATTTTTTGCAGGTTGTTATTAATACAGCATTTTTCTGAAAATTAAAGTTTGTACTTTCGATTATGCCAAAATTATACTGCAGCTGCAACAAAATCTACAAAGTGACAGCATGTTCTGATGTTCATTAAACAAAAAGTGAAACTGCTGCAAAAAATGGATAAAGGTATATATGTCTCAAAATCTCGAGGAGTATGGCATGGGAAAATCAACTGTATATGACATAAGAAAATAGAACTTTTTGAATTTTGTGGGGGTTGCGACACTCCCCTTGCAATGAAAAGATGAAAAATTTAATGAATTAAATTGAAAAATTATTCCTTATGCTAAAAGGGATGGTCAGACAGCGTTGCAGTGAGGCTGTGCCATTGACGGGTCCAATGTTGATGGCTGAAGTCAAAATATTTCATGAAGAAATTAACTTAAAAAATGAATGCACATATTTGACAGGTTGGTTAACTAAATTTAAAAATCGCCATGGTAAAAGGCAATTAAAAATTTCAGGTGAAAAAGACTCAGCTGATGAACTATTTGCAGATGAATTCATTTAACTCATTAATAGTGAAAACCTGATGAAATTGGTCTTTTCTGGCCACGAACTGGTACTGCGAAATACCTTGGCAACTTCTACAGAAAAGGCCCTAACTGGTGTGAAAGATTCCAAAGCGAGACCAACAATTTTAGCATGTGCAAATGCTTCAGGAATGCACAAGGGCAAATGTTTCATAATCGGAAAAATACACGACCTCAAGCATTTAAAGGAATAAAGATTTTTCACATTATATATCATGTAAATAAAACAACATGGATGACACACGCGTTAATGAATGATTGGTTTCCAACATCTGAATTTGACTGGTTTACCTAATGATGCAAAAATTGCAATGAATGTATAACAGTTTGGCTCACACTTAAGTTTTAGTGAAAGATAATGTATCCGTATTATTCTTTTCTCCAAACTGTACGCCCATCATTCAGCCTATGGATATCAGAATATTGCATGCGCTGAAATAAAATATAAAGCAACCTTTTTAAAATCCATGTTAAATTTCTTGACTAATGGCAAGACTATTCAAGAATATTTTAGCATAAAATCTGCTGTGCGGAGCATTGCAAGACCGCGGGTGAATATGCCTCCAGATATTTTAAAAAGTGCTTAGCATAATTTATGGCCAGCTACTGTTTCACGGTAGTATGATGTAGATGATAGCCGTGAATTTGAAGGTATTTGAATATCGCAAACAAAGGTGATTTTCCAATTGATGGATTTCGTAAAGAAATTTAGAGAAGCGGTAATAAATGAAGATGATATAACAGAAATTTTTTATTGCAATGAAACCACAATCATGAATCAATTAATGGACGGTGAAATTTGTAGTATGGTTCTAGATCCAGAAAATACTGCTACTGATGGTGAAGAAGGTGACAGAGAGGTTATTGAAAATGAAAAGTTTTGATTGACAACTTAATCAGAATGCTTGACAAAGCAATTAGACTTGAACAATAGAACTTTGTAACTAAACAAGAAATTACATCTGTCTATAGAATTAAAGAGAAAATATTAGCACAAAAAACGAAGCAATGTAAACAACTTATGTTGAAAGAAATGTTAATAAAGTAAACAAATAAATATTAAGCTTTCTTTTTTGTAAATTTTGATACCCGTTAGATCATAAATCACAATTTCATTTTTTTAATTTTATAATTTCTACATGCCAACTTACTGGATGTAAATTGATGATGTAATACCTGTAAAAATTCCAAATCCGGAATTCCCGAACAGTTCAGATCTCAGACTTTGTACTGTATTTTGGATTGTTATGTATATTTTTTTAACCCAAACAAGATTAGAAGGCTTATATAACTTTTTCTACTTTGTCATAATGTTCAATGGCACATTACTTGTTCTAAAAACTTAAATGTCAAGTTAAAAAAAAATTCTTTTAAATTCCCTTTTTTAATTAACAATATATTCAGACCATAATCCTTTCATTCAAAGTATAAGGAAATTCAATTTCTAACATAATTAACAGCACTTACCATCAGTATAGCAATTATTACACACTCGCACAGGTGAAGTACCCCATGTTGGCACAACACGAGTTTTTGATGCACAATCTTCACAAAAACCTCCACCACAAACACGACAATGATGCTTTTTTTCAAGACCTTCAAAGGATTTTTCACACAGACCACAATGCTACATAGAGGAAAAGATATATTTATTGTAAATTTTCAATACATTCTTTAAAAATACTACATGGTTGGCTTTATACCTAAATTAACCTTTACATCAAACTTACAGATGTGGGAAAACATATTAAAAACTAAACTAATTCCCCTTGCATACAATAAATCTTGCAGTGGATCCAATAAACACATGTGGAGAATATTTATTGTCAGTGCAAAAGTAGTAGGTTTTTAACATTTAAATAGCTGAAGTTTTTGTATGATGATATGTACATGCCTGTAACAAAATTTAAAAAAAAATTAGCATTCTAATACTCCTTGAATACTTTTTATGCCTCCATAATTTTACAGAACATAATGGCCACCACAGATGAATGATTCCTTACTTCTTCATCAAAATTCTATGTGATAAAAGTTTATGGCACAGGCTAAACACACACTGAAAACATAGCTTAATGCATTTTTAAAATTAATGCCTTGTTTTTAACTTTTCTGTAGTTTAATTATAGTACATTCTGAATTAATTATTCAGACTTTATATCATGTAACTTATAAACAAGGATACAACATCAAAATAAAGGTGCATTTTGAATGACTTGAGCTCAAAGTGTTTATATTTTTAATATACATGTGATGTTATACAGTCAAAAGTCGTTAATTCGGACACCCATAATCCGGAATGATCTATAATCCGGACCTCAAAGCTACAAACTTTCTGCGCATGTGTCGCGTTCACGCATGCGCACAGGCATTTAAGAGTGCGCATAAGACCTTTATGTTAGCTTTAGTTTTCCACATGCAAATTTTGATTGGAGGTAAGCTAACGTGGTTGCCGCTGATTGGCCGATGACATCAAGATCGGCGGGTTAGCCGAGTATAATATATATGTACGCCGGTATCGGCGAATCTTGTTTTTTTTTTTTGGTTTTTTTTTTTTTTTTCTTGTTCTCTTGTGTGATTATCAGTTAGCATTATGCTAGTTTGCTTTCAATCAAATGATTTTAAAATGTAAAGGCTACAGTTAGCTTTTTTTATTTTATTTACGGAATAAAGCAAGAATTTTATTTAGTTTAGTCTTAGCTTTATTTAAGGGAAGCATAACATGCTTTGCCTTTATCACCACTGCCAGCAGGGTTATGGGCCCAGCGCCAACAGCTAATCAGTCACCCAGTTCAACTCAGCATTGAAGGTGAAGAGGGCCGTTATCCACGAAAAGAAGCTGACCTGTCTTAGAAGTTTGTTCAAGTCGTTGTGCTCACACTTAATTGAAGATGTCATTACTACCTGAAGGTTTTGAGTTATTAAACCATGACAACTGGGATCGATGGAAAGTCGACATGAAAATGCTGTTACTGGATAGAAATTGTTGGAGCTTCATAGAAGACAAAGAAGAAGAATTAGATAAAAGTGCAACAAGGCGTGAAAAGCAGGAGTTCACACTGAGGAGAGAACAGAGCCTTCACTACATTATATTACGGAATTAAAAGCTGAGTTCAGGCCGCTGATACAAGAATGTTCAAGTGGTAAAGAAGTGTAAGAAGTTCTACAGAAGCAATTCGAACTCAAAACAAGAGCAAGGATAATTCAGTTACTGGATGAATTTTTTAGTATTAGATATACGCCAAATGAAGAAATAGGATTATTCATCGCAAGGATAAGAATGACTGCAAAGAAGGCTGAAGCTGATCACAACTTGGCAGATCTTTTTAATGGATTCCAGGCAATAAGGAGATTACCCCAGGAATACTCCGGCATTGTACAATTGATCTATAGGTGGAAGGACGAAGATTTTACGCTGGAAAGAATTGCTGAAGAGCTGGTAAGGGAAGAAAGAACCCGACTTCGCCAGGTAAATTGCCGATTTAGAAGACAGCAAGGTAAGCGTGTTTAATACTATTAGTTTAAACGCAGGGAAAGATAAAGTTGAAAATAAAACTAAATCTAAGAAAAAAATGGGGAATATGAGAATAGGACCTTATTTCAGATGTTATAAATTTGGGCACTTAATTGCTCAATGTAAAGAAAATGTAAGTAAAAATCAGAAGTTTAAATTAGACGATAAAAATGGACAGTTTAAAGATAAAGAATTAATGTTAGTAGAAAATTATGTAACAACTACAGATAAAGGAGGTAATGCAGATAAATTTAATTGGGTCGTAGATACTGCAGCTACAACTCATTTCTGTAATAATAGAAATTTAATGACAAATTTCGAAGAAATAAAGTGTGAAAATGTAGGAAATTGTGAAAGTAAAGTACTAGGAAAGGGTACTGTCAAATTTGCAGTAAAAGTAGTAAAAGTAGGTAATCGAATAAATTGGATTGAGTTAGATAATGTGTTATATAATCCAAATCTAAGAAGAAATTTATTATCGGGAGCAAGGTTAGAAAAGGCTGGTGCTCATTTTGTGATTTCAAAAGGGAAGATGTGGATATACTTTAATAATTGGGATAGATTATGCTGCGCTAAACGATATGATGGACTTTATCATGTAAAACCATTTAGATATGCAACAGGTAAAAGGGAAGCTGGTTACGGTACAGAAATTGGAAAGTTAAATAAAGTAGACGATGCAATGCTATGGCATCGGAGATTTAGCCACGTAAATTTTGATTATATTAAGAAAACTAGTAAGAATCAAAGCGTGAAAGGGTTACCAGAAATTGAAAAAACAATAGAGAGGTGTGAATCGTGTATTATTGCTAAATCTAGTAGAATAACTTTTAAAACTATTCCGAAGAGATCGGATAAACCATTGCAGTTGGTTTATTTAGACGTTTGTGGCCCACTACCAGTTCCATCTAAGGGTGGGAGTAAATATTTTCTTGCTATTGTAGATGACTATAGTGGATTAGTAACAGTGTATTGTATGAAAAATAAAAACGAATCGTTCTACAACTTTAAGAATTATCATAGGCAAATGGAAAGACTGACGAATAGAAAATTAATAAGTATACGCACCGATAATGGTGGGGAATTCTGTAACAGGCAATTCGAAGGGTACTTAGCCGAAAATGGAATTAGTGTTGAACGCACAAACGAACGCGTACACCCCAGAAGAGAACACGTGTGTGTGTGAACGTTTTAACCGAACGGCATTAGACACAGTTAAAGCTATGCTTAATGATGGTAAAATGGGAAAAGAATGGTGGGCAGAAGCTCTTGGCTGTTTCGTACATACGTGGAACAGAGTATGTCATAAAAGCAACCGAACCCCTTATGAAATGTTCCTAAATAGAAAACCCAGTGTTGTTTATTTTATTTTAAAGTATTTGGTTGTAAAGCCTATGTTGGCGTGCCAAAACAGATTAGAAATAAATTACAAATGAGGTGCAAAGAAGGAATCATGGTAGGATATGCGAAGGAAACTAGGGGTTATAGGATATGGCTGCCAGAAGAACGCAAGATTAATAGAAACCTGTAATGTGAAGTTCGATGAAAAACTGTATGCAGCAAATGGCATCCTGGAACAGAAATCAAAACCTAAATTTAAAAGACTAGAGGAATCTGAGCTATTAGCAGAATCAGATGAAGAACAGGAAATTTCTAGAGAAGAAATAAAGTTGTCAGATGACAAATCTACTCCGAAAGAAGTATCAGACTTAAACTGGCAAAGAAAAGCAGTTAAAAGGCCAGATGGAACACGTACAGACATATATTATTATGTAGAGGGAACAGACACCCGTTTTAGATCCTATAATGATATTGAAAAGTATTGTGAGGCAAGAAATATTAAATTATGAAAAAGATAAGTTCGATTTTAGTGGAAAAAAAAAACGAAATACTCGGGGAAAGTTAATTTTGTAGAACAGGAGACTAGCTCCTGTGTCTGAAGAGGCAAATTCCGTAGAAATAGAAATAGTTATCCCACAAAATTTTAAAGAAGCACGAAAATCAGTAAATGCCGAAGAATGGGATAAGGCAATGAAAGAAGAAATTCGACACAATGAAGAAAAGAAAGGTTTGGGAATTAGTCGAAAAGCCAGAAAATAAAACTATGCTAGGAAACAAATGGGTCTATACGCTAAAAAGAAATGAAAAGAATCAAGTGGTTAGATACAAAGCACGTTTAGTAGCACAGGGATTCAGGCAGAAAAGAGGTGAAGATTTTGATGACGTTTACAGTCCTGTAGTAAATTTTTCAATCATAAGAATATTTTTCACTATACTGGTATGTTTATATGGATGGACTAATTGTCAGTTAGATGTAAAGAACGCATATTTATATGCAAACCTAAATGAGAAAATATATATGACCCAACCAGAGGGATTTATCGAAGAGAAAAATAAAGTGTGTTTATTACACAAGGCCATTTACGGTCTACATCAAAGCGGCCGTGAATGGTTTTGTGAATTTGAAAGTACTTTAGAAAATCTACATTTTAAGAAAATACAATGGTGTAATTGTGTTTATAAGGGTTCAAATGTAATTCTCTTGTTATATGTAGATGATATTGTGATTTTTAGTAAAGATCAATATAGTATAGATAAAGTAATTTCACAGCTGAGTTAAGTTTTTTGATCTTAAAGTATTAGGCAAAACTAAAACGTTACTTGGAATTGAATTCTTAGAGAATGAAAATGTGTAAGTTTATCAACTATATCGCCTTATCTGAAGCAGCGAAGGAATTAATGTGGATGAAAAATGTCTTATAAGATGAAATTTTAAAGTTTAATTTAAGAGAGTGTAAACTATTTTGTAATAACAAGTCTGCCATTGATTTTTCTAGATCGCCAATAGAAAATCGCTGAACCAAGCACATAGACGTAAAATATCACTTTGTTAGAAGACTAGTAAATGATGGAGTGTTTGACCTTGAATTTATCACCAGTAAATTAAATACTGCCGACTTATTTACAAAAGCAGCAGCGACTGCTGTTAATTTAAGAAAGTTTTGTTTAGATGTTTTCAGTGTTTAAAAAACAATAAGTGTTTTTCGTATAATAGAATTGAACTATGAACTTCTGTGAAAGTTTTCCGTGCAAGTTTTTCTTTGCATGGGGAAAAGAGGGCCATTTGTTGGCTTTAGTTTTCCACATGCAAATTTTGATCGGAGGTCGATCAGTGGTAAGTTAACGTGGTTGCCGCTGATTGGCCGATGACGTCAAGATTGGCGGGTTGGCCGAGTATAATACATATGTACGCCGGTATCGGCGAATCTTGTTTTTTTTTTTTGGTTTTTTTTCTTGTTCTCTTGTGTGATTATCAGTTAGCATTATGCTAGTTTGCTTTCAATCAAATGATTTTAAAATGTAAAGGCTACAGTGTTAGCTTTTTTATTTTATTTATGGAATAAAGCAAGAATTTTATTTAATTTAGTCTTAGCTTTATTTAAGGGAAGCATAACACGCTTTGCCTTTATCACCACTGCCAACACTTTACGGCTGCGAATATGTTTGTGCACATGCGCGTTTAATGTGTAACGGAGGTATAAGCTAAGCTAAAATTATCTAATTCAGTTAATGTTGCACATTGCGTTGCTCCTTAATCTTCGAATTGGATCCGGCTTATTATTTTTTGCAGACTTTTAGAACAATTTCATAAAAGTAAGCTTGAACTTTCGATTATGTCAAATAGAATTTCCGATATAAATTTACTAATATGTAATTTGTATCTACAAAGCGAAAGTATGTTTTGAAATCCGAAATCTGTTTATCAATTTCACGTGGGGGATTGGAAGTTGATCTGTCAGCACTATCCTTATCTTCAGGGCAGATGTTTTTATTTTATTTGGCTTATAATTCCTTACTAAGTGTAGTATTTCATGTCGATGTACCCCGTGTTTGATATGATTTAAATCAAGTTCCTCCTCATTATAATTCGCTTTCGATAGTGAAGAAAGTGACCCAAAAGGTTATTGAAAACGAAAACATTTCGATTGACAAATTAGTCGGTATTCTCAACACAGCAATTATAGGACTTGAACAGCGGAACTTTGTAACTAAACAAGAAATTATGTCTGTTTAATAGAATTAAGGAGAAAGTATTATCACATGAAACGAAGCAACTTAAGATTGAAAGAAATGTTTAATAAAGTTAACAAATAAATATTAAGCTTTTTCTTTTTGTAAATTTTGATACCCTTTAGATCATAATTGTTCTTTATTTCATAAATTACGGTTTCATATTTTTAATTTTGTAATTTCTGCATGCCATCTTACCAGATTTAAACTGATGATCTATAATCCGGAATCGCCGAAGTCCCGACGAGTCCGGATTAACGCTTTTGACTGTATTAGTTTTCACACTACTCAAAGATAGGGGGGCAGAGAGTTGTTATTTTGCTACAAGTTTCACATTTCTTCATTTTCAACTGAAAACTATGACAAAGAGCCCATTCTAATTGCAAGCACACTATATCATACAGTAATGTATATCAACATTTTAAATAAATAAATCTAAATATTATTAATCATTTGTAATCAAACCAGTCACCATGTTTTGATAGTTTGAAAAGTTAAGATTACCTCAACACAAACTTTCAAAAAATACAAACAAGTTTTATCAGTCTGTACTGATTGATAAAGTTAAAAAAAACCACAAAAGGGAAATTGAAAATTTTTCTTCAGTTCAATTTCAAGATTTTCTTATTCTCTCCCCATGCATTTTATTTAAAAGACCATAAATTAAATACGCCCATATATTTAGAAAATCTTACAGAAATTCGGGAATTGGGGATCCAGTAAGATGGTGCTATTTGGTCAGCTACCCAACTGGAAAGAACTTTAGTTGGCTTGGCCCCAATATTAGTAACAACTTCAGATACAGTGGCCAAATTATCAATAACATATTGCGCTGTATTTTTCTCTTCACAGTTTGAGCCATCAGTCTAAAAGAATAAAAAAGGGAACTTTTTAAGTACATAATATATGTGAATTTTCACAAATAATATACATAATGTATAAAATCATATACTTAATGTTATCGTTGAATCATTTCTAATTAATTTTTTAAAGAAAAAATTGCACATTTCAGTCAATTCTATCAACTTACAAATGATGGAAGAAGTCTTTTATTTTCCGATTTTGACTTATTTGATGAACAAATTAATTTCTTTACTAAAGATTATTCATTAGATATATCTATGTTCATCTTAAACAAATTTAAGTATCTGTATAAAGACACAAAAACAAAAAAAAACAAAAAAAAAAAAAAAAAAAAAAAATTCATTTAATTTCAGCACAATTAATCTACTTACCACTTTCTTACCTACAGAACACTAGGATGAACTGTAAGTATTGAAATTTCCCCACAGTTTTTATTTTGAATTTTGACAGAATAAATACTTGAAATTGATGTAATGCAACTATATGAAAAAGTACTATAATGTTATTGAATGTGACCATGTTATGATGCTTCAAATATTTTTTTGACTAATCCTGGATAATAAAATGCAAATTTCTATTCAAATTTTACACATCTAAAATCTTTCTACACATTTAAACAAAACAAAAAACTTTTCAGTTTGTTTATAAAAAAAATTGCTCATTAGCTAACTTTTTACAGCATTTTAATTGTAAAGTCCTAATTATAGGAAACTTTTACAAACCTTAAATTTATCAATATATTACAGAGTATATTCACAAAGCAAAATTGCTATATTAAAATAGAACAAATATTAATTAATTAAAAAAAACTATGTTGAGATACACTAAAAGAAAACACACCTAAAAGTCTGCACCTTTCACAAAAATACATTTGAAGCATTTTTTATGCAAAGATGAAAGTTTACATTTTTTAAATATATAACTATAAATAACTGAAAATTAAAATTTAATAAATCTTACTTAAAGTTAACTGAAGTTACAGCTAAAGTGAGATTTTGCAGCTAAACTACCAAATTAAAAACATCTAAAAATGTATATTCATTGATTGAGCTTTAGAAGTTTTCTTTTGATTTCATTATATCCCACACGATATAAAACATATGCTGTTGCCTGTGCTTGAAACTAATATTCTTAAAGTCATTTTAAACAATCCTTGGAGAAATCTCACTTCTTTTCAGCTATTCAAAATAATCACAAATTAACGAAGAATATTGTTCCTTTACATTATCTTATTTCAATCTAATCTGCGTTAAAGATTTGTTGCATTTTTAACAGGAGCATTATTTTTCATAACATAATTTGATAATTTATTTAAGTACCCAAGTCATCAACAAAAATGCTATGCTGATATAATGTATTAAAATTTATTACTTATTTTTGCTGACCTCATTAAGAAGAAGCCAGGATCATCAGTGCAGAGAAAAGGCATTCATGGCAAGCCATGGTGGTTAAAAAAGTTTAAGAGAAGAAACAGCAACTACAGCACTGTGAGGCATGGAGAAGCAGGAAGCTCAGACATAAAGGCAGCCAAGAACTTCATTGGCATATTCAAGAAACTTATGAATTTGCAGTTTTATCTGCCATAGCAGGTTTTAAATTGTAATTACATGGGTCTCTTCTGGAAAAAGATGCCAAAGCAAACTCATATTACAGCAGAGAAGGCATTGCCAGGCCATAAGCCAATGAAAGACCATCTCCTGCTGTTTTTTTGTTCAAATGCAAGTGGCAATTTGAAAATTAAATTGCTGCTCTTTTACCATTTGGACAATCCACAAGCCTTCAAGAAGTCCAGAAGAGCAAACTAAATAGCATGTGGAAGTCCAACAACAAAGATTAGGTGACACATTTTTTACAGAATGGATAAACGGTCTGTATAAAAACATATCTGCTTGAGATGAATTTGCCACTATGTACCTTGCTTATTACGGACAACAAAGCTGCATAATCTCCAGGCCTAGAAAATGACCTCCTGAAGAATTTGAATTTATCAAGTTTCTTGCCTCTAAACACCACTCATGGATCAGCAAGTTATTTCAAATTTTAAAAAGCTCTACACTAAAGTACTCTTCGAGTGCAGTTTTGTTGACAACTGAAGAAATTAATTTTACTGTCCAGTGTTTTGAAAGACCAAGCTCATATCATTCCCTGCCTCAAAGGAAGGGGTCATCAAGAAATGTCACTTCTACATGGAAGAAGTTTTGGCCAGATAGCGTTGTTAAACACAACTTCGAGGGATTTGAACAACTGCCTGTAGAGCTTGTAATCAATGAGATTGTGTCTCTCGCCAAGATTATAAGGCTACATTTGGATAGCATTAGCAACAATGAGCTACTGGAAGGGCCTTTTGTGACACAGAAAGAAATTGTGAAGATTAACAGCCTCAGCAAAACAACACCCTTCCATCAAAATAAAGGAGATGCTGAAAGCATGGGAAACTTGCACTGTACGTTATGAAGCATCATTCTAATAAAGCAATAGCTAAGCATGCTGCAAATTTATTTAACCTTTTGAGATAGCGTGCCTTTGTTTAAGATGTTCCCTCAAGATGGATGGAATTTGAAAATAATCATCCCACAGGAAGATTTTTTGTCGCTGAGCCTTTAGGAAAAAAAAAAAAAAAAAAAATAGTCCTAATGTCATAATTTTTGGTACTATTTTAGATTATTATTTAAGTTATTATATACATTAAAATTAGCATTTAATAAACTTTAAGCTTTACATGAAAATGTATAAAAAAATTGCTTACTTCGAGAAATTATTTTTGGGAGCACTATTCAAATTATTCTGAAGTTATAATTGATAAAAAACGTTAACAAACTTTAATACCCTATAGTAACCCTATAAGACCCAATATACTAATGAAAAAAAGAATAAAAAAGGATTCGAAGAGATATCAGAAATCCAAATGTTGATCACGTTGTGAGTTAAAGAACCAAGCTCTATTTGTTTACATTATGCTTTCCCTCCTCTCCCACAACAGCTGATACCAATGTTAACTGCTTACTAAGTTACTCAGTAAAAAAAAAAAAAAAAAAAAAAAAAAAAAAAAAATTGCTTGCTTCAAGGAATTATTTTTGGGAGCACTATTCAAATTATTCTGAAGTTATAATTGACAAAAACGTTAACAAACTTTAATACCTATAGTAACCCTATAAGACCCAATATACTAATGAAAAAAAGAATAAAAAAGGATTCGAAGGGATATCAGAAATCCAAATGTTGATCACGTTTCGAGTTAAAGAACCAAGCTCTATTTGTTTACATTATGCTTTCCCTCCTCTCCCACAACAGCTGATACCAATGTTAACTGCTCACTAAGTTACTCAGTAAAAAAAAAAAAAAAAAAAAAATTGCCTGCTTCAAGGAATTATTTTTGGGAGCACTATTCAAATTATTCTGAAGTTATAATTGACAAAAAACGTTAACAAACTTTAATACAAAAATATATGAGAAAGACTATCTACCAGAAGAGAAACAAAATCTTCTGGCAGAAAGGCACTCTATGAGCTCAGTCTTTGATAAAATGTCCAGATTCATTAGAAATATCGTCCTGTAACTCTTCTGTAATGAATCTTCACTTTCAATCATTTCCTTTCTCTGATAAATAATGCTCGCTGGCCATAATAAACTGAAGTAAAGAGTTTCCGAAATATAAAGGGAAGTATGCAAAATATAAGTGATGAAGGCAATGAAAAGAATAACAAGACCCCACATAGTGACCCTATAAGACCCAATATACTAATGAAAAATGTTGATCCCATTGTGAGTTAAATAGCCAAGCTCTATTTGTTTACATTACGCTTTCTCTCCTCTCCCACAACAGCTGATACCAATGTTAACTGCTTACTATGTTACTTAGTAAAAAACAATTGCTTGCTTCGAGAAATTATTTTTGGAAGCACTATTCAAATTATTCCGAAGTTATAATTGATAAAAAACGTTAACAAACTTTAATACCCTATAGTAACCCTATAAGACACAATATACTAATGAAAAAAAGAATAAAAAAGGATTTGAAAGGATATCAGAAATCCAAATGTTGATCACGTTGTGAGTTAAAGAACCAAGCTCTATTTGTTTACATTATGCTTTCCCTCCTCTCCCACAACAGCTGATACCAATGTTAACTGCTTACTAAGTTACTCAGTAAAAAAAAAAAAAAAAAAAAAAAAAAAAAAAAAAAAAAAAAATTGCTTGCTTCAAGGAATTATTTTTGGGAGCACTATTCAAATTATTCTGAAGTTATAATTGACAAAAAACGTTAACAAACTTTAATACCCTATAGTAACCCTATAAGACCCAATATACTAATGAAAAAAAGAATAAAAAAGGATTCGAAGGGATATCAGAAATCCAAATGTTGATCACGTTTCGAGTTAAAGAACCAAGCTCTATTTGTTTACATTATGCTTTCCCTCCTCTCCCACAACAGCTGATACCAATGTTAACTGCTCACTAAGTTACTCAGTAAAAAAAAAAAAAAAAAAAAATTGCCTGCTTCAAGGAATTATTTTTGGGGAGCACTATTCAAATTATTCTGAAGTTATAATTGACAAAAAACGTTAACAAACTTTAATACAAAAATATATGAGAAAGACTATCTACCAGAAGAGAAACAAAATCTTCTGGCAGAAAGGCACTCTATGAGCTCAGTCTTTGATAAAATGTCCAGATTCATTAGAAATATCGTTCTGTAACTCTTCTGTAATGAATCATCACTTTCAACCATTTCCTTTCTCTGATAAATAATGCTCACTGGCCATAATAAACTGAAGTAAAGGGTTTCCGAAATATAAAGGGAAGTATGCAAAATATAAGTGATGAAGGCAATGAAAAGAATAACAAGGACCCCACATAGTGACCCTATAAGACACAATATACTAATGAAAAATGTTGATCCCATTGTGAGTTAAATAGCCAAGCTCTATTTGTTTACATTACGCTTTCTCTCCTCTCCCACAACAGCTGATACCAATGTTAACTGCTTACTATGTTACTTAGTAAAAAACAATTGCTTGCTTCGAGAAATTATTTTTGGAAGCACTATTCAAATTATTCCGAAGTTATAATTGATAAAAAACGTTAACAAACTTTAATACCCTATAGTAACCCTATAAGACACAATATACTAATGAAAAAAAAAATAAAAAAGGATTTGAAAGGATATCAGAAATCCAAATGTTGATCACGTTGTGAGTTAAAGAACCAAGCTCTATTTGTTTACATTATGCTTTCCCTCCTCTCCCACAACAGCTGATACCAATGTTAACTGCTTACTAAGTTACTCGGTAAAAAAAAAAAAAAAAAATTGCTTGCTTCAAGAAATTATTTTTGGGGAGCACTATTCAAATTATTCTGAAGTTATAATTGACAAAAAACGTTAACAAACTTTAATAAAAAAATATATGGGAAAGACTATCTACCAGAAGAGAAACAAAATCTTCTGGCAGAAAGGCACTCTATGAGCTCAGTCTTTGATAAAATGTCCAGATTCATTAGAAATATCGTTCTGTAACTCTTCTGTAATGAATCATCACTTTCAACCATTTCCTTTCTCTGATAAATAATGCTCACTGGCCATAATAAACTGAAGTAAAGGGTTTCCGAAATATAAAGGGAAGTATGCAAAATATAAGTGATGAAGGCAATGAAAAGAATAACAGGACCCCACATAGTAACCCTATAAGACACAATATACTAATGAAAAATGTTGATCACGTTGTGAGTTAAAGAGCCAAGCTCTATTTGTTTACATTACGCTTTCTCTCCTCTCCCACAACAGCTGATACCAATGTTAACTGTTTACTATGTTACTTAGTAAAAAACGATTGCTTGCTTCGAGAAATTATTTTTGGAAGCACTATTCAAATTATTCCGAAGTTATAATTGATAAAAAACGTTAACAAACTTTAACACCCTATAGTAACCCTATAAGACACAATATACTAATGAAAAAAAGAATAAAAAAGGATTCAAAGGGATATCAGAAATCCAAATGTTGATCACATTGTGAGTTAAAGAACCAAGCTCTATTTGTTTACATTATGGTTTCCCTCCTCTCCCACAACAGCTGATACCAATGTTAACTGCTTACTATGTTACTCAGTAAAAAAAAAAAAAAAAAATTGCTTGCTTCAAGGAATTATTTTTGGAAGCACTATTCAAATTATTCCGAAGTTATAATTGACAAAAAACGTTAACAAACTTCAACTGAACTGATTTTCAAACTGAAGGTCAGGATCCTAAAACTATTTTCAGTTTAAAAGTAATGGACACAGGATGCCATCTAGTGGTCTTTAAAAAATGGTTTAGCTTAAAATACACATATGTATCACCCGTTCCCTAAGCTCATTCTCCAGTGATGCACAAGTTAAGACGCCCCACTGTGAGAGACATTCTTAGGCAATGCAGATATTGGATGCCAGAAAGGGTTAATGACAATGTTGTGTCTCATTTCAGCAAATTTTGAAACATAAACAAATGTCTTTAACAAACTTTTTGTAAAAAAGGATGTATTATAAATAATAAATTATTACAAATTTGAGGATAATTTTTTTTTCAGAATGGAATCTATTATCCTATTTTCCATCGATTCTTACAAACAACATTGTTTTGTATTACAAGTAAGATTCAAGAACAAATTATACTCGTTAAATGAGGTTCCACTATTTTTGTAATATACAAGTCAAAACATTATAAAGATGCAGTATAAAGTAAGAACTCAAAATCTATAGCATTGAAATTTTCATTCATATCTACGTAAATTTTACAAGTCACAACTATATAATCTTAATAACACCACACAGGGATGATGCTAGGCTCTTAAGTACAAAATGGTTATGCAATAATTAACTCAAAGAAAATAATCAATATCTTTTCTATTAACACTTTGACTGCCCAAGACGAGATAACTCATATTAGCGCTCTTCTTCAAGGCACCCAATACGAGTTATCTCGCAGTTTCTTCACTTGCCACTTTTGCACCACTATGAGTTACTTACTCGCTTAGTGCTTGTTTCAGCTATACCAAGGTGACAAGTAGAAGCATGTCTGTATGAATCAACTCGTAGTGGGCTTCTGCAAAGAGCTTTGTCTAACAAAAGCCGACTACGAGATAATTCATAGGACTCCCTTTTTTTCCCCTCCTTTAAAAAAAAACCCTGTGAACTTTTTAATGATTGTTACGAATCATAATTAGTATTTTTAATAATATAATATGCTTAAATAGATTTGGCTTCTCGGACCGGAATCCAAAAAATGCCGTGCCAGTTAACATGTTAAACTTGCGATATTTTAATAAAATTTTTTTTGTGTTTTCCTGCGAATTTATAGTATTTGGAACTATATTTATTCTCATTACACTTAATAGACAATTTGAGGTTCTTAAATACATAACTTTAAAAGCTTTTAGTAAATTACAATTTATTACACACGCACACATAAAAAAAAGCATATAATAAACACGCAATATTTTCGTTAAAATGATCAAATGATATTTTACCATTGGCCACACATGACATATTTCTGTTCTCACACAGGTATCCCACGGGTGCTGATTTCCATACCAGTATTGACGACTACGATATATCACTCCACATTTTGTGCATTCCAATATATATCTATTTCATTAAAAAACATATATTAAAATACTTAATTTAACTGTAAAAAATTACATTTATTATTTTTTATATATAGTTACCTACCCTGACCATGCATACTTTGCAATTCCAAGCCATGATGAATCATTGGATTCCATTGTTTTTGGTGAAACTTCCATTTTTTCACCCCGTTCAAAACAAGTCTACAGAAACAAAGTATTTTGATATTTAAAAATGAACATTTTATATAAATATATGAGTTTAAAGAATATGAGAAAAGCATTTAGATAAACAGTACCTTGCATAGAAATATTCGATTTTCATACTGATGTTGGTAAATGCAGTTTTTGTTTGATGTGTGAGAAATATCTTCCTTTTCATGGTTCATACTATTTGAACATCGAGCCCTATAATCAAAATAAAATTTTGCCTACAAATTTGAAAAATAAATACAACAAAAATATATTGAAAATGTTCTAGAAAATGCATTACATTTTAAGTTAAATAAAATGAATGATTTTACATTACATTTAAGTTAACCCTTTCAGGGGCAGTATATAAAATATTGGGCTTACATTGTTCTATCGATAATGTAGGTAAGTACCCATATATACTGCCCCTGGTACAAAATTGTAACTTATGGACCCTAAGAACACAAAATTGAGACTTAAAAAAAATCTAGAGAGAAATCCTGAATTTTGAGAGCCAGTGTATATTTTATACCAGTGCTAAGACTCCCTCCCCCTCCAGGGCCAATTGTTAATTTTTGTCTTTTAATTTAATTTTGTGTACTTTTGATGTAGAAATGGGTGCTTGAATATAGTTATGTAAGACTAAAGACAAAATTTTTTAAAACTTCGCTAGAAATTCAAAAAATAAAATTTACGTTTTTGTGCACTTTGATGATGCAACCCAGCTGAACATACTTATGTAAAATATGGGTAAAAAGATTTTGAAATTAATTTAAATTCAATATAATGATTTTATGAAAAAATTTAACAAATCACTGACTGTAGCATGCTGTAACTGAACTAGTATAATATTACAAGCAGATGTAACTCAGTCAAAAAATAAAAAATTGAAAAATGAAACACTACGACTCGGCTGAAAAAGTATGTTCTATTTTTTAAGTTATATTTTATGCTTTAGATAATATATAAAAAAGAGCATGCTTCATGCTATGATAACAAGAATTGCCCTCCCTCCCACACACTTTCGACTATTGAGGCCCTTTTTAATTTTTTGTAAATATAAGTTGTAATATATCATTTTGTTCAGGAAGAAAAACCGTTAAACAATTTTATTTTATACACCTCAAAGCTCTTATTTCAATTTTCAGCCCCTCTGGCCTCCTACGGGCCCCTTTTCAATTTTTGGATACGTTTTAGTTTGCATCTAAAACTGGCCTTAGAAATATTTTCCCTCCTTTTGCCAACTGTGATTTTTTTTCTTTTTCTTTTTTTTTCTTTTCTTTTCTTTTTCTTTTTCTTTCTTTTTTTTTTTTTTTGAAAATCATCTATTTGTATCCTAACCTAGGAGAAAATTTCTCTTGTGTTCCCTAGTCTCTCATCTGAAATTAACAAAGACTATTACATCTTAAGTAATGTAATAGTCTCTAAAGAATAAAAGCATGCTTTCAAATCAGCATTTTTTTCCATTCCACCATGAGATGGACCTAAAGTGCATTTCTATTTCCTGTATTTTTAAGTGAGCCTTGTGTTATCTTATCACACAGACGGAAAAAGGCATGACCCTCGAATGACAAATAGTTGTGAATCACCCCTTTTCATTTTTGCTGCATGCTAGGAATTTGGAAGACATAAAGCAACAGGTGTCTTTCTGGGTTAACATGCCACATTTAATCCCTACAATTGTGTAACATTTTTATGCCTGATGACAATTTTAAAATTTTGACATGCCAGACGACAAGTCTTTCTCTTGGGAAAACGCGAAGTGCTGAAATTAAAAATTTAGCTAAACAGAGAGGAATGCAAAACTCGAGTGGAGTAGACAAAGAATAAAAAGAAACAAATATACTTGCATTCAGTCCTAGCACAACGTCAGTAAACTTTCCATCCCCCCCATGAACATAATATTGAATCCTAAAGAACTTGTAAATTAATCATCAAAATTTATTGCATCATAAACTATCATAATATAAAGAAATTTTATCATCTCAAAGAGTAGATAAAGAGAAGACTGATGCTGCCATCTATTGGCACGGTACCCTCAGTATGAGCTATATACTACTCTTAAAATTGTATAAATAATCTGTTAATTATCACTTCTGACTGAAATGTAGTAAATACATAAGATTCAGCATGTGTATGTCATATATTTTCAGATTTTGAATATTTTCTTTCCCTCCAATAGAATTTGTGAATCTTCAAACTTGATACCTTGGAACGAGGTATATTAATTTCATTACTGCAAAATATTGAGCATTCATAAGGTAGTGCTGCAATTTAGAATAAAAAGGAAATACTAAAACTTACAATTACAGCTTTTGGTAGGAAAATTAGCATTTTTTAGGAGACTAAAAAAATATCCAGAATATTTTACATACCAGTGCCTTTTAAAGGATTACATAAAATGATTTCTTTTACATATTAAACAAAAAGTTTTTTAAAATTTGACAAGCAATATGATAAATCTCATTTGTTAAAATTATTACTACTTTTTCAAATGCTAGATGGTTTAAAAGTTTGATATACGAGGGTTGGAACTTTAATAGTGGCAACTATTTATTTACAAGGAATACAAAAGTGATTCATATCACCATGTTTTACAGTCCTTCAAATATAATTGCCAGCATTGTGTACAACCCATTTCCAATGATGTGGAAGTCGCAGAATACCTGTAGCAGCGCCTGTTTTGTTGATAGTTTGAATGGACTGGTCTACTGCTGCAAGAATCTCAGGAACAGTTTGGAAGTGAGTGCCACGAAGTGGTTCCTTCATCTTAGGAATTAAGTCATAGTCACAAGGGCTTAGATCTGGGGAGTATGGTGGATGGTAAAGCACTTCCCAGCCCCATCGCTCGAACAAATCAGTCACAGCTTGCGCTGCATGCGGCCGAGCATTGTCATGCAAAATGAGAGGAGCGTTCTGCAGAAAGTGTCGCCGTTTTTTCCTCAAAGCTGGTGGGAGATTGTGCTCCAAAAATGATCAGTAATACTGCGCAGTGACGGTCTGCTGTGGGGGAACGGTATGCGTTAGGATGGCACTATCACAGTCATACACGAGAATCACCATACTTTCACATTGCTGGGGTTCTGACGAAATTTCGAACGTCGTGGTGACCCGTGATGACGCCATTCGCTTGATTGCCGTTTCAAGTTCTGGCTGGTACGATCGGGCTCAAGTGTCATCCAGCATAATGATACGGTGTAAAAAAGCATCTCCTTCGAGCTCATAGCGCTCCAGGTGAGTTTGGGCAGCATCGTATCGCAGCCATTTCTGCATTTCCATCAATTGATGTGGAATCCATCGTGAAGCAATTTTTCTCATGGACAGGCGTTCCTTCAGAATGTGTGTATGCGCTAATCCTGTTTGTCCGGCCAGCTGACGAATCGTTTGGCAGCAATCACTGTCCATTAGTGCAGCAACAGCTTACGTGTCTGCATCGCTGACACTCGGACGGCCTGGCCGCAGCATGTCTGCCACGTTTTGGCGTCCTTCACTGAATGCTTTCACCCATCTTGCTACGGTTCTGTAAGGCAATGCAGATTCTCCGCGAGCCTCTTGAAGCCCTTGATGACACTGTTGTGCTGTACGACCTCTGGCACATTCAATTTTTATCCAACATCGTTGTTCTTGCTTTGATAACATCCTGACAACACTTACTTTAGACCGCGAGCTAATACAAGGATCCGTTCTTCGCATCATTCCGCATGCGCGTGACGTAGGCAGGACGAGTCTTTTTGCTGAGAGGTAAAGTAGGTATGTAGTTTACGTGTGGTATACGCGATATTCTTTGGTTTTGTTGTGTAGCGTTTTTTCAGCTGTGTTGCTTCTATTAAAGTTCCAACCCTCGTATTTTACAACCATGATTTTAAAGTCACTTCATTTGAATGCTGAACTGTAGAAATTTTAGATGACACATTAAAACACATAACTTTTATCAAGCTAACACTTTTTTCTGTCAGAGGGATTAAAAAAAAAGTAACAGAGGAAAAATAAAAAATTCTTAAAAATTTCATCTTGCAAAATATTGAAGAATGGTAAATAATGCTTCTTTTACATACTTGCATGATTTGCATTGAACAGAACAGGTGAAATACTGATCTGGAAAGGTGTTTGGTATAGATTTCTCTATTCTTCCAGAAAATTTATCATTCAAAACCTATACAAAAGCAAACACAACTATTAAAACTTTATACAGCAAGGAAAAATAATTTTTTTGAAAAGGGGGGAGGGGAGAAAATGAGATTATTTTTATTATTTTAGATTAAGATTAATTAACAGGCAGAATAATTGGGGTATCTTGCATATGGGAAGGCTGCTTTTGTAGAGCATGCATTAAGAGGAACAGCTTCTTATTTGCTTTACATATGAGAAAAGGCATGAAAATACCATATGCCTAGCTCATTAGTTGGTATTTAAACCTTAGTCAAGCTACCAGTATTCAGTGATCTTTCCTTCTCAGTCAGTGGTGGACCTAATTACACCAGAGTCTGTTATTGCCATAAAAAAAGATTACATAATTAAGTATTTACGATAGTTATTGATGGGTCTACTAATATAAGGATATTTTCAAATAAGATGAAAATAAAAGTAATCTGCATTGTTTAAAACAGATATGTGAGATACTTAGAAAACTAACCACTATATTGCACTATTTTTGTTTGAAAAATTGCCAAGTATGTTAACTTTTTACACATCTGCCATATAGTTTTTAGTATCGTGTATAAAGTGTCTTTGGATACATATGTGAATAAAGCGGGCGCAGCCGAAGCAAAACCGATGAACACTGGTAGTTCGGTCCAACTTTTGATCCCAGCGAACAGGCTGGCTCCATGGGTGTTTTCTTGCCTTTACGCGTGTGTATCATTTATGCAGTATCTTCTCCATGCATATGTGAACAAAGGGAGTGCAGCCCACGCAAAATCACTGAACACTGGTAGTTCGGTCCAACTTTTGAATACTGGCAAATTTGAACATAGGAATTCTTTTAAAAACGAACAATGAAAAGCAGGCTTTAGCCCACTCAGCTGGCGGGCTTGCCTGCTAGTATAGTTTTTAAAATCATTAATGCTAATCTTTGATAAATATGCAAGCTATAAATTTTTCGTACAGAATACAAAAGACGTATTTCATCCAGTGAAATGGTAACTTTCATAAGGAGTTAATATATTCCAAAATATTTTCACACTTTTAGGGGTTAGGCATTTTAATCGGAATATGGCTAATATTTTGTATAACTAGTATCATCTGGATCAGGAGTCAGCAACCTTTTCCACTACAAAGACATACTTAAGAAATCTAATAGTTAGATGGGCAGGACAGCCACTGTGAGGCAGTTACAGTAAAAGTAAATATTAAATAAAAAATAAATATACCATTAACAAATATATATATACACACACACACACAAAGAAACATACTAACGGGCTAAAAATTAAAAACAAAATTTTTAAACAAGTCCTGTGCTATAGCTGCAGATGAAGTAAATAACTTAAAGCATCTTAAGTTAAAATTAAATGAAATCAGCAAGGCAATCCTCAACAGTATTATAATGCAACCATGTAACCAACACATGTCTAAACCTATCAAAAAAAAAATTTAGTAGAACAAACTCTAAAGCAAAATGCGAAAAGGAAAATTAAAATTGAATACATGAAATCATTTTCCTGAACACTCCAATTCTTGCAAAACTACAAGAGGCTTCAAAATAGTTTTAAAAACATTTCAATAAAATGTGTTTTCTTGGTTAATTGACTCAACTCTAAAAACAAAAAAAAACAAAAAAATTCAATAAATTTTTGTTTATACTCTTTTTCAATTTTTGTTACTAAACTCCAATTCAAAAAATCACAAAAAATTCAGTTTCTAAGCTTTGAAACCCAAAGAGAACCAACATTGTGCCAATTGAGACTATAAGCGGGGGGGAAAAAAAAAAAAAAAAAAAAAAAGGCCAATTGACCATTCCAAAAAAAAAAAAAAAAAAAAAAAAAAAAAAGTCTAAAAAATATTATCCAATATACAAAAGGACAAATAATAAATCAAAAGTCATTGAATAACATCAAAAACTGTCATTTAAACAACCTTCAAAAATGGGGTGATTATGCTAAACTTTTTCATCATGAAATGAAAAACTTTTCATGGAGTTTTCTATAAATAATACAACCTAATCTGAGCCTTAAATGGCTAAAATCTGAAAACCTATTTGAAATAAAAATTAAAAAAATTCAAACTTACTGAATTCTTAAGACAACCATTTTAATGTAGACTTACTGAATTCTTAAGACGAGCAAACTGTGTTCCTTGCAAAAGAAGGTTGAATTCAAGGCTACTCTGGAGAGGCAAAAATTTTGTAGTTCTTGGAAAAATTATATGATAAGGTTCAAAGTGTCCAACAGCAGAACTAGGTATTTTAATGTGTGTTCAAAATGACCTATTCTGTTAAACTTTGTGTATGGGGGATCCCAAGTGTCGGATGTGGTCTGTAAAAATAATTACCGATGAGGAGGGTGATCGTCCAAAATGGTGCTATAAGAAAGATGCTGTCCTCTGTAAAATTTTAAAACGTGAAAATAGAACTGGCTCAAAGTTCAGGAAAAGGAAAAATATAGGTTATAAAAGATAAAAGACTTCATGTAATCAGTCCACAATACGTCTTTGAAATTATAAGTTCCATTTTTTTTTTAGTAGAAGCAAGATTGGCCAGTCATTACATTTTCAAAATAGTAAAAAGATAGTATAAATAATAATTAAAGTAAAACAAAGAAGATCTTCGCACATAATTACAGTAAATTTCTTATCATAGTCATCCAACTATTACCTTCGATTGAGGTTTAAGTAATAACTATCATTTCACTTTTTAGGTGAGAAACTTTAAAAAAAAAGTAATTTATACCAGCTTTCTTTAAAGGTATAGAAATTTTGAATAGAAGTGTTTTATTCTCTAAGATAATTTTTATTAAATAAAAATAAGTTTCTTCTTGAAAGTATTCGACATTGCTGCAAATATTTTTTATTCTATGGAGTTGAGTATATATGGTATTAAGTATTATTCTTTTGTTAATATCTCCAAAAGAATACCTTACTATAAAACCAATGGATAAGTTTTATAGTACGGAAATCAAAATCTCTTCTTTTGTTGCAAATTTTAATATCTTTAAAATTGATAATTTGCAAATCCAGGTAAATTATATCTCTTTGTTGAAAGTTAGTTTCAATGAGTTTCAAACACTAAGGATAAATGTGATTTGTTGATTGTAATAATACCATCCATGTATCTGTAAATGTTAGAAAAATATGAATGTTGTACTTGAGATACCCGTTGTTGGAAAAGAAATTCTTTGGTGAAAAGGTACAAATTACAAATCGCAGACCTTGTGCTAGTTCCCATCGGGATTCCATTGATTTACTTAAGCATTATTAAATGCAATGTTGTAAAGGAATTGCCTTGCTTTGATTCCAATTTAATTTAAACTTCAGATGCTTTAAATTTATTATGCATATATATTGAAATGGAGTTAATTTAATGTGGATTCTGAAAGTTGTAATGATTTGTTATTGCAAAAATGTTTATGAAAAATGCTGCTATATCATGTTGTTTAAAAAATTTTGCAAGCCAAGCAAGAAAACTAAAAATTGTTTTTGAAAAAAATTGATGCTATGCAAGAGAAATACAAATGGTAAACAAAGTATTTTTAACTATTAAATAAAAAATTAAAACCCCAATATCCCGATTGAGCTCTAACACTTGTAAATTTATGCGATCTGAGCTTCGTTCAAGAGCTGTGGTGGAAGTAGTACTTTGTAGTGCTGGTATTAAAGATTTTCAAATTTTTGTTTAGATGGTATGCGTTTAGTCAAAAGGTTGAGAACCACTGACATAAATTAAAGTATTAACCATAGGCAAAAGCAATGCTACCTGTACCATTTTGTTAGGTTTTAAATTGAAGAGAAGAATGTAAACTCTGCTTACAGCATGAAATATAAATTCATGAAATGAAAAGTTTATGTACGAACAAAGGCTATGGATCTTCTGCTAAAATACTATAAATAAGATAAAAAATAAATAGTAATAATATTTTCAACAAACTGTACATATTTTTCTTACTTTTAAAACTTTGAAAATGACAGCAGGTGCTCGAGGTACTCGAACAGCAGAATTCTGTATATGTTTTTCAACTCTCCTTCTCAGTTGAACAAAATCAGTTGGACCAGAGTTGCTACATGTTCCTAAATATTCAATACTACTGAATGCATCTACTTTTAAACCAAGTTCTTGAAATCTGGATCGTAAAATTAATTCAGGTTCTACACTATCATCTGTGGAAAAAGATAATTTCATTATAAAAATGGTCAAGAAAATAATGTTTGCAAAACATTTTAAACACTGAAAAGCCTTTTGTAAAGCAAATGCTATACTGATACTTCTTAACAACATTCTGAAATTTAGAAAAGTTAAAAAGATAAAAATGACCACTAGTAGCAAATTAGAAATAATAATAATAATAATAATAAAATTTTAAAAGAAAAAAAGAAATGATAAAATATTGACTACATTTCTATATAATAAAAACAGGATGACACAAATTTCTATCAAAAATGAAATGAAAAAGAGCAAGGCTTTTGCCTGCAAGTCCTATCAACTAGAACTTAAACAATGGCTTGCTTCATTCTCGTTTCTCCCTTTGTTGCAGCTCTTTTCCTTAGACATTTTTTATTCGTTTCAACCGATATCAAAAGGTTGGTTCATAGTACTTAATGCTAGTTTGAAATGAACAAGCAAAATAAGAAGGTAAGTGCTGAATTAAATAACACTATTTAAATTTTTCCTGACCTTAGTTTAGCCTGATACTTTCTTCTGTTATTTTTATTTTATGTAGTTTAAAGCAGTGGTCTCAAACTGGCAGCCCCGAAGCAATTTTATGCATCTGCAAAGGCATTCTGATTATGTACAGAGGCTGTTTGCACATTTTTTAGATGATTTTCATTGCATTTACAGATTATTATTTTTTTTTTATATGTTTTATTTGATATCTTCACTATCTTTCTACAGCATAATTTCCAAGATAATAAAGCCTTTTTTAGTATTAAAAGAGGTATTTTATCCATAGTTAACTCATAAAAGTTCAAATGTGCAAAAATCTGTGGATGATACTTCAGGAGATTTAGTGGGGATATGAGTGAAGAGTACGGTCTTGACACCTGTTTCTTGTTCCATTTTTTCCAGGAAATTAACAGTGGATTTTGACTTGTGGCTGCTTGCTTTGTCTTGATGCAGTTCTACTAATTGATGGCACTGTCAGTAAAGAAAAGGTATTTCATATTTGAAAATTTGATATAAAATATGTTCCTGATAATATGAGGAGTTAATAGCTTTCTGCACTGTTTTTAATTTATATTTGTCATTACAACAAAAACCTACAACAATCATAAATCTCTTTGAAAAACTTTCCTTAGATTCTTTGAATAATATTCTAAGATTTTTTTCTTCTCTTTTATGATAGTAAATGGATCTCTTTTTATTGCAGTCATTTAAATATAACTAAGATTCATGTACTGTGACCACATTTTTCCATTTTTGCTTGAATAATTGTTTCTCATAGAGAATTCTGGAGCTCATTCTGCTTTCGGTGATATGTTGTGAAGAAAGACAATACACATTATGTTTTTTTGCCTTTTTAAGATATAAATCAGCATTAATCACTTTGTTTACAATTGACAATGAACATCATAATGATTATTCAACTGTCCTTTGACTCTGCAGATTTTCTTTTAACATTAAAGTTCTTACTTTTGCAAGATTCGAAACATTCTGTTTTCTCCTTCGATATGTACTTTGAACAATTTTCTCCTTGAAGCCAAACTCTGACATTTCCCCCCTTTCTTATTGATAATATTATATATTGTTGCTTGAGATACTGAAAAGTCATAGCTTTCACAGCATTTTTTAATAACTAAATACAAATAATTTTTTTTGGAAAGAGCACAAACATAGCTTTCTGTCCACTACTTCTTTGAAAGTGCCATTTTACATAAAAACAAAATTTTCAAGTAGGATATGATAATTTACACTTTGGGAAATATAACTGCATTAAAAAAATTCCAAGCAGGCAATTTTTTTATAGCAAAGCAAAGTTGTCTAAAAAATGTGCAAACATTATCTGTACTTGTTGTAAAGATCTCAAGATTTGAGTTATCTGAATTCTGACTTTAGATTATTTTCATTTCCATTAAAAATGACCATGAATAATGCACTAGAAAACCTACAAATGGCACTAATTAATCATTTTGTTCAGAAATATATTTATACATGAACAAACAGTTGAAAATTAGTAAAAAAAAAAAAAAAAAAAAACCAACTGACATATGAGTATCCACATGATGAAGATAATTTCCAGTTATATATACGTAAAAATAAGAAGACAGAAATTGAATTATATTTAATTACCTTAATAACCATTATGTTTAATAATTAATGTTGAATAAGAAGAGAGTATGTGTTCAACTGTTAGTATGAAACATACTGAATTACTGCATACATTATTTAAATTGACTGAATGACTATGTTCTGATTCATTAAAACAGTCAAAAATTGTTATTTCATACCGTAATAATTGATAATATATGTATGATTGGTAAGCATAGTCTAAATTCTAAGATATGCCATAAAAATGTAGTGTTAATAGTGCATAAAAGCATCATATGTCCCTTACATATTCATAATAACTATTTGTATGCTAAAAGATTAAGAAGTGGTTCTAGTTTTAAATCAGTGCCTAACCAAACAAGAGGAGTTTAAAAAACAATTATGTCAAAAATCTTAAGCATCTGCTTTGCTTACATTTAGTGGAAAGGTTACTGAAAACGTTTCAGATATCTGGGAATTTTTAAACTTTATTTTCACATTATTTGGAGAACTTACTTTAGTTTGAGAAATTCATTCTATTATATCTTGATGACACTAACTGAATTGTTAATCACAATAAGCAGTATATTTTTCATGTTTTCATACAAAAACTGCCTAGACTTAATTGTAATCTCATAACAAGATCTGAATGATAGCATTAACAGGAATCACATTAGGTACTATAAGGCATTCCTCCCTTCATAGTGTACCTTCCTAGTGTAGTGGTTCTGCACGCTGGGCCGGTATTCCACAGGTCCGTGGTTCGATTCCCGGCGAAGGCGGTTGCTAATTTTTCATCTTGCCTGCTTTCAAAAAAATCCTAATGTCTCTACAGTGTCTACTACATTTATCTCCTCATCTATGTCAAATTTATCTTAAAACAACATCAATGACTTTTATAACAGCCATAATCTAATAATTACTACAAATAAAATTCAAAGATAACAAACAGCTTGGTAATAAAATAAAAAACTAATGGAAACATCTGACTAGTGAGATGCATATTTTAAAATATATTAAGTTACACATTAGATAATCCTAGAACCATCAAAAGTGTCAGTCTATTTTGTGTTAAAAAAAACTGTATTTAATATGAAAATTCTAAACTTCTTACACTATTAAAATAACATCACTAATTTTTATAGTAGTTAATACTGCTAATTTAAGTTATATAGAAAAATCAGAAAACCTCAAATACTGTTAATATATTCTATCAAAAAAAGAACTGAACCTAAAATAAAAATCCTTGCTTTTGTAAACACAGGCTTACCAGCACAAAGGAATGAATCTCATATATATATCAAACCCCATATCTATTATTTATTACAGAATTTAGAGTTTTTTTGTTCTTGTACAGGGTTCATACACATTTCCTTACATGAAAATTAAGGACTTTTAAGGACCATCAAAGAAAAAATTAAAGACCTATCAGCAAACACACATACACACACACACACACACACACAAAAAAAAAAAAAAAAAAAAAAAAAAAAAAAGAATAAAAAGCAATTATCCATTTAAGAAACTAACAGAAGTGTGTATTATGCACTATTATTAAATTCAATTTAATTCTTAACATAAAACAATTTTGAAAATTAAACTAACTCCCTACAAGTTATGAAGTAGATAACATTAAATTAAGAACAGAATTTCTTGAAAAACATGTATAAGTGTATTTTACACTAATAACAGCCACAGATATTTTAGAGATTTACATGATTATTATTTAGCTTATTAGATATTTATTTAAACACAGACAACTACTATTATAATTGCAATGTAAGAATATTTTGCAGATTAAAATAACAGATTTGTAAACATACAATATGTTTCTTTGGTTTTTTGAAAGATACTAGAATAATAAACTATACAGTGGTGGCCAAAATTGTGGACACTTTTGGAAATTTTTATGTTTTTGAACTTTGTATGCTTATAGAAAATTATTGATTGACCAAGAATTATTGCTATCGGAATAAAAAATCTGATGTGTACACCACATGACTTTCTTGTACAGAATATTGAATTATACGCATTTTTTCTTGCATTTCATTTAAACTTATTGGATTGAATTAAATCTACTTCGCCGACAGCGCATAAACCACAATAGAATAAATGCATTCTTTAAAATTCACTCTAGTATTTGTTTACCATAGCGACACTCTGGCGCTAGATTCACTTAACAGTATTAATAATTATATACCAGTTAACTTATATAGTAATTATATAACGGAAACTAAGTTAACTGTTAACTTATATATTTCGTTCATATTATAACTCATAATGCACAAAATTTATATCATTTAAAGAATAGAATTATCTAATCGTTGCCACATGTTCTATTCAAATACTATAATAAAGCTAGAATGATGTATAAAAGAAATTAAGCAAACAAAACAAAAAAGAAACAGTTTTTTACAGACGATTGAGTATTTCTCATTTAATTAATTCAGTTCTCACTTCGCGAGAAATCAAAAATACATAAAAACTCAAAATATCTATATTAAAAATTACGAAGTAAATCTTAAACACTTATTTCCTCGAAAAAATTCCACAAAGAATTAAGCACGATTTAATTGGCAATAATAAATGAATGTGTTATCTTTGTTGTTGCAAAGCTAAGTTTCTCTAGACTGGCAACAAATCCACTAGTCTCCTGTTTCAAATGTCATCAATGGCCGCCATAAAAAAAAAAGGCTTAGCGGCATTTAGACAACTTTAAAATTGTTGATAATTCTAAAAATATTGCATACAAATTTACTAAAGGCATAAAAACCTTAACTGTAAGATAAAAACAACATAATACAATCATTTTTAAAGCAAAAAATGTACAATTTACAAACATATAAGAGTAAAGAAACTGAGATCACTGAGCTGGGAGTGGATATATACATAAATATATATATATATACGTTTG